ACTTTCCAGTACGATTCGAGCGTCACTCTATATATATATATAGAGCTATTCGTCTCCGCCTCTTGTGTTGCTCCAGATTGTCCCAACGTTTCAACATCAGCTGACCCCAGTCTGACTTAACACAGTGGTTTGACTGCGCGAATCGGACCTACTGTTCTGTAGTGTTGCTGCTTCCTGACCAAAAATCCAGGAGATACGGGACAGGACGGGACACTCGTTTTACTTGATAAAATGAGAACGTTCGAGATTTTGCGAGATGTTTTCAGATTGTTTGATAATTTTTGAGATTTGTTGAGATTGATTTTCGGGGTTCCCAAAATTGACACTGCCTTTCAAGTACTATTATGTTATATGTGTCCCGAGAATTCTTGAGATAAAAAATATATATTTTGAGATAAACATGCTAAACAAAATACAGTTTTTGAGATTTTTTGAGATAGCTTTTCGGGGCTAACCAAATTGCCCCTGCCTTTTACCTGCCTTTAAAGTAGTGTTGTGAGACATGCCAAATTGATTGTTTCTACACTGACATGCTTTCTGTGCACTTGACATGACCTTCCACAGCCTTTAGATCCACAATGCAATGTGTCATGAGCTGCCCACTCAATCAATCAGCCTCTCACTCACATTGTGCCCGTCAGTGCCGGCATAGATCAAGAAGCTACACTGTGCTCAAACCATACATTTGCAGGAAGTACTCTGATTTAAGAACATCTGCAAATATATGAACTATTTTGCAAAAAACAACTCAAGCATACACAAAATAGATTTCTGGGGGTGTCTTAAAAACCCTCCCGATCGGACCCTCTACTTCGGATCCATGAGTTGTTTTCCTTCGTTGGCTGCTGAGCATGCCCCTTCGAAAGAGGGTTTCTGCGTGCCAGACATCTGCCTCGCGCTGAAAAACTGCCCGCTTCTGCTTGGCTTAGGTATGCTTGTCTGGTGTTCTTTTCCTGGAGAAGGCGAGCAAAACCGTTGCATATGAGCTAACTTGTGGTTCAACCAATTTTTGGACAGGCCCATATGCCCGTTTCGGGGTTGAGAAAGGGATATCAAGAAAAATAGGACTTGCACATCTCACCAGCTGTATGTATGCCAAGGCCTTGAGCAAACATTGTAGGCCGCAGGAAAAGGCCACAGCGCGGCGCTGACAAACACACACACACAGTCACGCGTTTCAGGTAAACAGGGTCCAAGTTGCTTTCAAACATGGTAGCGGAGCAGTAAACACTGGGGAAAGTATCCTGCGGCCTTAAGACACGCAACAACACGAACGGCGGGTCAGCAGCAACAGCAACAGCAGTTGAAGATAGCACCACCACGATTCACAGAGCGCAACAGACGGCTCAGACAGGCGGAGCAATTGCAGCTACAAGTCGCACATGATCATTGGAAACAGCAGCACCTTCACAAGCAGTAGCAGAGTGGATACAACTACGCAACAGTGTACGCCGTGATGAGCGCATGCAATGGACCAGCATCAGTAACTTGCAGACGAAACACGCAAGGCGACGGATTTGAAGCATGGCGGCCACTACACCGCAGACACTCCATCCCCTGTGAGGCACACGAAACATTGGGCGCCTGAAGAAAGTCACTCAAGCCACAGCTCGACGAACAGAAGTTCGAGGAGTGCTTTGCAGCTTGAGTTTCAACTTGCCAAGTATGAACAAGAGAACAGCAAGCTACTACCAGATGCTGTTAAAAATGCCACACTGCTCAACGGGACAAAGGGAGCACTACGGCAACGAAGCATTACAACATGTGCACAGATGAGATCCCGGGTAATCGAGTACCACAGAGCAGCCTGTCATCAGGCAACCAAGGACCTGCAAAATTCGACATTGGCACGGCATGGTGCTACAAAGGAAAAGGGCAAGAAGGCAAACACAAGGGCGCTACAACAATCACGAAGGAGGAAAAGGCAATCAGTGCAATCAACCAGTTGGACAAGGCAACCACCCACTCAAAGAACAACACAGACATGGCACAGGAGAAGGGTACGGCCAAACGCGGTTACAACAGCTAGCGCTTCCACAGTCAGCTGGTCCACCAGCAGTACCCGCCTCAGGATTACAAGAGACAACAATGCGCAACTACTTACAGAATATGATTGACAGCGGTGTGGCTACACATGTTAGCCCGCCACGATTTGCAACTCAGTTGCAGCAAGGAACAGGACCACAAACGGAGAACCGTGACCAATCAATACTTCAAGCTTCACGGGAACAGGTGGGTTTTTATGACTCACCGCAACGGACAACAGATTGCCACACCGTTTTTCTTTGGTGAGGCTAAACAGCCAACTCTTTCGTTTACAAGGCTGGTGGAACAAAGGCTTCCAGCTTACCCTGGATGACAATCCAAGGTGGCAACACGACAAAGAAAAACACAGCACAGTGGAGAACAGAGATGGGCTGTTCTTCCAACAAGCAGGGTTTACGGCGCTACCAAAAGGCACAAACCTTCATGATAGCAGCGATTGCAACACTCGTGCCGCATGCCGCTGCGGATGCAGGATACGCAGGTCAGCGCAGTAGTGCTCAGTAGCACGCACAGACAATACAAGAAGACACTTGTCACACCATCAAGAACACAGTGTGAATAACCTGACCTGAGGCTCAAGACCACCCGACCATCAGGTTCGAGGATGGCGCAATGACCACTTTTGATGACAAGCGTCGTGCAATGGACAACCCGCATGGAGCACAGCAAGAGATGTGGAAAGGAGAAACAGTTTCAGCATCAAGAAAGGAAAGGAACAACTCAGAGCGCGCCAGGCAAAATTACACCACAAGTGGTTCGATACAATGTAAGCGTGAGATTGACAGGACAGCAGACACCACCAATAGCACAGGAGGCAGCAGCGCCACACACAAAACCAAAGGTGCAGCTGGACATGGAAGACCACACCCGTTAGACATCAAGCGGCTTACGCCTTGGGGACAAACAAGGGCACAGCCAGTTCGAGAAGAGCGCAACGCCAGACTGGTAGAAGACGCATGGACAGCACAACCGCCAAGGATTTCAGTCAAGCCTTGGGCAGGCTGGGCAAACTTTGGGGAACAACCGGAGTTTCAAACACAACCGGGGTCAGATGATGAGGAAAACAACAAGGCACAAAAGCAAGAGTGGTAGAAGCACATTTAGGCAACCAACACTGGAGCTCGACTTCGGCCACATGAAAGGCTTCTACGACACCCAACGAACATCCAGTTCTCACAGCAATCGACATCCAATCTGGCATGGCCATGGGGCACAGCTGACCAACAAGGTTCTACTCGACCATGCACTCACACAACTACAGCACTTCCTCGTTGAATGCCGCGCAATCAGGTCCGGGGTATTTTCTGACAGCGTGGAATTGAGCGAGCGCGCAAAACATTGTTCGGACAAATCAGAACACTCAAAGCGCAAATCTGGCAGCACCACAGCAGGCACATTGCAACGGAACATCCACTCATGGTCTGGGTTCTTCGACACAGCACGCACATCGAGAGCAGATGCGCGCTTCACAGAAGCGGAGCAACAAGCTACTTGAACAGGTCGGGTAGAGAACACCACACACCTCTTTGCGAGTTTGGCAAGACAGTGTAACACATGCTTTGCACAGTCAAACAAATTCCAAAACCCCAGCCAAGGTGTCGGGATCTACACAGGATTGTCAGAGCAATGCCAATCAGAAATGCTACCACCACCACCGCCTACATCGCCAAAAGCAAAGAAGAACAGGCAAGCAAGCGCGCCGCGACAAAAAGGCAACGCTGGAGGGACCCACAACAGGAGACCAACCAAAAGGCGAAATGAAACGTCAGATGAAGGAACTACAAGGGATAGAAAACAAGATGCTCCTAGAGCCAAGCGCCTACGACACAGGGGGTTTGGATCCAGAACAAGTAGCGCAAGGAACGAAGCACATGGTGAGACAAATGAAAGACGAATCAGAGCAAATATCATCGAGGCAAGATAGGATCTCAAACCAAAACAACAACATGAAGCACGAGCTACCCTTTGCAAGTACACCTTTGTTTTTGCATACTGAGAGTACTTCATGGCACTGGCACAACTGATCGGTCTGCGCAGGGGGTTTCAGTGTACTCTTCAAGCAACAACTTGAGGCGTTGAATAGGCACATGTACACAGTTAGCCTGTAAGGCCCACACCGCCCAGCTTCACTCAGTTCGCGCTGACGGGATGCACAACCCTTCAGCGCATCATATCAGGCACACGGGTCATCCTCAGCTCACGCAACACACACACACATTGGTTTGGAACAGCACATTGTGTACAGGTTGGAGGCAATAGCCGAATGACTTGATGCAAAAGGTACAGTACTACATCCTCAACAGACAGAACCGCACACAGCTTTTACAAGATTTCGGAGAGCGGTCGAATGCGTCGAGCACATCAAGAAGGTTGACAAAGGTGACATTATTTTGCAGCAACAACATGGGCACAGGCGACACACCATGTCCACCAGGGATACAGTTGCGCAACTTTTGGTCTGCTATTGGATCAGGTACAGTTGCGTCATCCTGCGCAGTGAAGATGGTGATGCGCTGGATGCAGCTCAGCTGATGCTAAAGGGGTATAAGCTGAGGAGGGCGTGCCCTGCACAGACATTTCTACATCACCTCGGCTGCACACATGCCAAGGCCTTGAGCCTACATTGTGGTCCTGCCACAAGAAAAGACGACCGCGCCGCGCCGACACACACAAGTCCTTCACTGCAAAGCAACAGCCTACAACTTGCGCCCATTCGAACACAAAAGGCACATGGCGCATGTTAACATGGCGGCCTACAAGTTGCGCCCACAATCAGAAGGCACATGGCTCCTGGCGTGGAACGCAAGTAGCCACCTGCAATAACTACAAGGTGTGATGTGTTTGTCGGTACGCCCTTTGTCAGGTTACCCACTTTCGTGGTTCAAATGCAAAACCACGGGAAATCACAAAAAAAGAGGTTGATGGCTCCATTTCCGGAGGGCAATTTTGGGTAGGCCAAGACATGCTGCTGCTTGGCCCCCCTGGTGCGCTGCGCCGGAACCTCGCGCTGCGCTTCTGTTTGGGGCCCTGGCCGAGTTGGCTTTTGAATTGCCCGGACCGATCAGGTCTCACAGTCAGGGCACTCATGTTTGCTTGATTTGCGGCAGTTGTGGGGTTTGACGTGTTTAGTTGGTTGGTCTGCGTTGTTTGCTTTAGTTGGTGGGTATTTTGTTTGTTTGTATTGGCATTTCTCCTGTAGTTTGGTGAAGGAGGTGATATGCCCAGATACGTTGTCCCAAAATGTGTGGCCGTTCTCAAGCTTGCGGACCCCAAAATGGTTGGCTTACTTTGGAAGGGAAGCCTTTCTTGCCAAAAACCAACTAGAAGAACATCCCAAGAAAAGAGGCACTTGGTTTGAAGCTCTTGTGATTGTTTCAAAAGGAAGCCAGAGGAAACAATCAAAACGGGTTTCTGGCTTGGAGATATTCAAAGGGGTTGTCACTCTCATGCTTCCTTTTCTTCCAAAGGATACCATGTTTTTCATGGGATCCCTTTTTGTGGGGGGGGGTGTAAAGGGAAGCCAAAACGAAACATGTCAATCATTTCTTGGGGGGTGGGGGCAAACCAGGTCCCTGCCACTGTGTGAACAATCATGAACAATCCAATTTGGGTAGGAAACCAAAACGAAACCTCCAACCATCTAAGGCCGCACAGATACACAAAATACGGAGACCCGCAAAATGATCTTCCGTTGACACAGCCTTAGGGTTCCAACACTTACAGCCGTACCCCGTCTGAGGTCATTTTGTGTTTTGGTGGTTCTCACCGCGGAATGATGAAATGACCAACCGAATTCAACTGGCTGTGTGCTTTCGGATCCCTTCTGCCCAAACACGGAATCCTTGAGCACCAGCCATTGGCCGGGATTTTGAAGGTTCACTTTGAGGCCAAAATGCTTAGTTTCCTTTTGGTTTCTGAAACCTACCCGATACCGATCCCCTCAACGTACCCAGAGCCGCTCCGACGAGACTCCGCTGGATAGGCGAGTTGCAGCGCTTGGAGGCGGAGGTGCTGACGGTGACGCGGGACACCACGGAGGCTGACCTCAAGCAGCGCCGGGAGCTCACCAGGCACCAGGGTTGGTCCGGTCGGCTCGGTTGGGCCCAACCGGCTTTGGGGCGCAAAATGATGGCCCGGAAAAAATCCGTTGGTCAATGGGGTGGGCTGAATGGCCTGATTATATAATACATATATATACACACATATATACGTTTATTTGGGGGGGTTCCTCTAAAAATGGCGTGGTGTCCTGCACAAAGCTTTTGTGTGTAAACTTTACCCTCTTTTCTAAAATGGTTTGAGTGTCGCTGTGAGCCACTCGATGGGTGGTGAAACGCCATGGGAGGACACCAGGCCAGTGATGAGTTTAGTCTGGTGCTCAAGCGCGCAGTTTGGTGAACCTTTGCTGGTTCCTGTATGATTTGGGGAGTCCATTTGAAGCCTGAAGACTTTTGCTGAGATGTCTGGGAATTCTGATTGGTCTGACATGGACAAACAGGTCCCCTCTTCGGCCCTGGTGCTTGTTTTCAGTGGACTAATGTGTCTGTCCGCTCAAAACACATGGCATTTGCGGCTTCGTGTGACCTAAACCAACCTTTGAACACGAGAAATCATGTTGCTCGTGTACCTCCTAAATTCATACCTTCAACGCTTCCCGAGCCGCTAGATGAGTTAAGCCTTAGGGACCAGCGAAAACTCAGCTATCAGTGTGATCGGCCACACAACGTGGCGGGAAAGCGATGGTGATCCCTGAACTCTTTCTCCGGACAGGGAAAGCAATGGGAACCACCAGTTTTAGCAGGGGGTGCAAGTGTTTGTTTGGAAGGTTGCCCCCTAAAATGGTTCCAAGTCTTTTGTCTGCAAGGGTCCCTGAACATCTGAGCATTTGGGTGTTTTTCCAATTGGTGGAGCCCTTCTTGGCTATATGGCTGGTATTGAAAGGGAGACCAAAAGGAAGCCAACGATAGGAAATGGACCCCTATCTTGAGCATACAGTGGTTTCATCTGGATACGAGAAACATTGTGTTATAAAGATGGTTGTACGCAGTTGTCAACATGTTCAACAAACATGTTTGCAATGAACATATAAAGCTTACAGTGCTGATAGGAAATCCCTTTCACTCATAAGCAACAAATCTAGTTCATATGTAACATTAGCCTTTATTGATTCTCTAACAATTCCCATACCACATTTCACACAAAATACAGTATTGCTATGTAGTGTCGGGGCCCGCTTAGTCAAAGGGTCCAAATTCAGAACGGTCTCTACCCCCCGATACAATAATGTGTTTTTGTCCGGGTAAACAAAGGCTATGTTCCAACCCTTCAAAATCCCTGGCCGGTCGTAATTCCCATTTCCCTTTTTGTCCACCAAGACTTGCTTCTGACTATTGAGCAAGTCAGAAGATCTCCGCCAACAACACCCATTCTACAAACTTCCCAGTTTCTTACATATCCTTATGCCAAAGTCTTCAGGCAACAAATTTCGAAGCTTCCTAGGGTAGCACACGGGTAGGACAGGGGCAACCCCAAACGCTCAAGAATAAGATCGAACAAGGGGTACCCAATTGAGAAGTCATTTTCCATGCCCCAGTACGAAACCAATGCGGAAACAATGCGAACCGGTACAAGAGCCAGTACTAAGGCAGCACAGAGCAGTTCTAAACCAACACCAACCAATACAAAGGCAGCACCAAGCAATACCAAACCGGCTGGTCTGTGGATGATTGGCTAATACAGGGCCCCCCCTCAAACATTTTTGGGGGGACCCACAAGAGGGAAAGCAATTTGGGAGTCAGATTGGCCTCCAAGACTATTGGCTTAGTATTTGTTTAATACTGTGGATGGACGAAATCCTGCACCACTTTGTTTTCATGAGAAGCCATGGTTTGATAGTTACAAGGGAATCAGCATTATCCAGGGCTTAGATGCAGGATTGCGTCCACCATATTGCTTTGTGCTGCCTTGGCTCAGTGGTTCGTACTTTATTGACCCATCGAATGGAACGGTGCGAGGAGTTCCGGCAGCCGCACCCTCTACGCGGACGGGGCGCCGGTGCGCTGCGCGTTGCGTGGTCGGGTGCTGGCAGGAAGCCCAGCGGCCCTTCCACCCTTCGGGCAGGGCCAACCCCTTGTTCAAACTCGTTGAAACGCCCCTTGTTTTAACAACCCCCCTGAATCCCTTTAACGGGGACCGGTCGGGGTGCGTTTTATCGCGGGCCCCAAAATCATGGTGTTCCTTTTGATTTACCTTGATACCAACCTCCAAAAGGGTACCAACTTGCAAAACTCACACTTCTGTACCTTCAAAGCAACCCCTAAAAGGGTACCAACTCCAAAGAAAAATCTAACACACAGCCAGCAGTTTACACCGAAATTTTGCCCCGCGAAACCCGGCCCGAAGAGGGCGGAGCGAGTTGCTTTTCTCTTGGGCAAAACAGCAAATTCTAAAGGGGTGCGTCTTGGGAGCCTTTCCGCGATGCTTTCCTTTGAGTGCTGGACATCTGAAAAAAAAATCCCGTATACAGTTCCTTCGCATCGCCATCTCGCTAAAGTGGAATGCTACGTGATGGAATTGCTTTTAACACGTGAGCCAATGTTTGTGGCGCCGGAAGCATTTTCATGTTGGATGAGTTATAAGTCAAAAGATGTGGTATGAGAAAATATGCTGTACAAGAGATGGCATGGGTGCTGAGCTTTGGATGTTGTTGAGACATAGGTGGAACGCATGGTGAAGCAGATTGGCTGAAGGTTTCTCACGGAATATGCAAGGCGATTCCAGGTTGAACCACATATTTGGGGGGTAGGTGCCCCTGAGAGATGTCCCATGTGTACCTTTTTTCTTGCCGTACAGACCATACGTAGTAGGTTGTTGAGCCCTTAACTTTCTCCATTTTTTGGTGAGTTCCCTAGTCAGATTGATTGACCAGTTCTGAAGATCACCAGACTAAGCTTAGCTCCGATGGAAAGCCTGGAAAGGGGCGGGGGTAGATGGTGGCTTCAATTGTTGCTTGGAGATGGGGGTATCCTGACATTGAGTGCCCGTCTCCATCATGCCTTGGGGTGTCCTTCCTGGAACACCATGAGTCATGTTTTACAAGTCAGCCATATGTCATTTAACACTCCAGTGAAATCAAGGCAGTTGCTGCATGTTGCCCTAAGCGTTCCTACCAGGCTTTGTGATGATAGCGAGGCTCCGTTCTTCCGCAAAGCAGATTTGAGCTCCCTTCGAGTGTTTCTAAGCTTCGAAGGCCAACAAGTTTATAAAAGTGCTTGCATGAAGGTGTACACATAGCAAGCCCGGGCGGGACGGGGGAAAACTAGCGCGCTCAAACACCCTGGTTTCCAAAAACCGATAAAACATGAACCCGATGGCTCGAGATCTTGAGTGCCATATGGTGTTTGCCAGTGTGTTGTTGTACTTTTTGTTTGAACAACTCGAGTTTGTTTTTTTGTGCATGCTTTTGGAGAAGTGTTGATTGCCAAGCGGGGGTTGCCAAGCAAAGACAAAAAGAAAAGCATGTCAGGCCCCATGGCTCCAGATCCTCTGTGCCCACACGGGGTTTGCCATGTTCTTGTTGTTTTGTTCTTGGACAACTCGAGGTTGTGTGCATTGTTGTTGGAAAACAAGTTCATGTTCAATCGAGTCTGACAAAAATACAAATAGAATACAAGTGACGGTCCAGAACGAAGCCATGCAAGTAGAAGTTCGATTTTAAGCTCAAGTTGAAGTAGGAATTGCTGGCTAAATAGGTTTTTAATTGAAGTGTGATTGAGGTGGAACTTAATAAAGCAAGAAATCATTGTCAATTGTCCTCCAAGATTCTACTTGGCCTGCCCCTTAAAAAGAGTAAAACACCAACGGGACATATATTTTAGATCACATTCAGGCGACTGTACTTTAAGCCTTGGATTTTAAACTTTGCACATCAATAGAGCTGAAATTGCATGTTCCTTAAGTTTCTATTGATGGGTGCCAAACAAAATTACTTTACTTCGAACAATCCCCACCTAAGGCAGTTGCCGATTCAAAGGCTCGGTAAACGTGTTGTTTGAAGTACTTTTTGAAGCCGCTCCGCACCTGACTTCTAAAACCTGCCACTACACAACCGAACGAGTCCAACGCTGGCTAGGAAACAGTTTCTAGTGGGTGATGCGAACGCGAAGCAAAGAAAACAGTTGCCAGCCGCGTGCTGTTGATCCCTGATCGATATACACTGTAGCTGCTGCCAAGCGCAAAACGCAACCTCTCACAAACAACATGTATAGCAAAGCAGCAGGAGGGGCATGATCCGCCCATGCAGGGAAGCAGCTTCCCCACACATCCAAGAGGACAACATGGATCCACAAAAATCCACCAAGCCAGTTGTTGAGCTTCCTTTGGGTCGGGAGTTCCCGCACAGGAAGCTTAGCCCTGGGCGCTCTCTCAGGTCTTGGACGGCTTGGAGAAGGCTTGCCAGCCTTCAGGCCAACAAGAGGTCCAACCATGGAGTAGTGACTCCATTTCCCCGTACAGCCCTTGAAAAGCTAAACGAAAATGGTTGGTAACTCGGATTGACTAGGGCCCAAAAGAGGCCATGTGCGAGAAAAGAGTTACAGCATTCAAGGGTGCAAATCAACCAGTTCCTTTCGGTGCCCTCACTTTAGCTTGATGAATTTCTGTAGTTCACTCAGAAGTTGCGTTTCGATTGGGGTAAGGACAGGCTCCGGATGGTGCTTCCAGCTTGCTGCTCATGTTGTCAACGTGGCCCATCAGTTTGAGTTGTTTGGGGCTCCAGGTGCTGAAGGGTGTCACGACACCCTACTAGCTGAGTGGTTTGAATCCGGCCTTTAATTCACAGTCCCCAGTTACCGATACAACAGCAGCAAGCAAACCGTCGCTTGTGAGACCACACAGCTTCCGACCCTCTGCCTTTCAGTGCGGCAAACAATGTTCAATAAGAATGCATGCCAGTCCGCGTTGCTTTGTCCCTTGAGAGCGAATATGGCAAGCTTAGCATGTGCCACGGAGTATCCACAACCGTGAGTCGCGTCGAGGAAGCCGTTGTTTGCATGGTTGTCTGCAGCCCTCAGGATCAGCACTGCGCCAGCTGTCCTCAGAGGCGTTTGAAGCAAGTTGCAGGCGATTGGCCTATGTTTGTTTCTTGCATAGGTAGGGTGAATGACCAGCTAGCTCTTTGCCAGATCGTTCATTTTTGTCCGGCCACTTCGGACATTATCCCTTAAGCCTCTTATAGATTTAAGAAGCATGGCTCCGGTGCATGGGCAGGCTGAGCGGAACGTGCTCCCCACACTCAACAACTTGCTGGAGAAGCTCGGCCACGAATGAAACTGAGGGCTACAAGTCCCCGAGAGGAAGACATGCGGCTGTGGGTCAAAAATGGGTACCCCAAAACGGAACCCTGGTAAATGGAACCCATGACTAAACCAGGCGGTCTCCTGGTGGTTTGATTTTGACCCACACCCAAATATGATGTTCTCCGCCCTGGGTTTCTTGACTTTCCTGACCAGGCGAAAGCCGCAAAACCAAGACTCTGGGAAGATCAAGTACGATGTTTGCCATTGCACTTACCCTCCCATTGCTTGGTGCCCAGACCCTTTTTGGAAGACACATGTCCTTTGGAAAGCTTCCATGTTGGTGAGAGGGCAAGTAAATGTTTCGACCCAAAGGATCCATAAAATGCACGGGCCACCAATGGTGTGGCAGTCACAACATAGATGCGGCGGACTTCCTTTCTGTGGATTAAGAAACCCTTCCATTGCATGGGTCTTTTTCAAGTCTTTCCAGGGGAACCATTCGCGCAAAGCGCAGTTCGTGCGGTGGGGTTGGTGGTGCAAGATGAGCTTCAACCCTGAGCCCTGTAGCATCAGACAAGCTGCATGGGACCTTTTCTGGGCTTGGCTTCACCGATTCTGCATTTGAACCCTGAACATATGCGAGGCCAGGCTATTCTTTTCCTGGTGATGATCAGTTTTTGTGTTGATGAGGTGTGTGGGAATTCTCGTTGTTTGCGAAAATTGGTGATTTGGGTTGGGTTGGGTTGATTGGGTTGAGTTGTCACAGGAACCGGGAGATGCAGCTGGATGATGGCCGGTTGCTGCTTGGGTGCATGTGTCGCATCCTGGAAGAGGATTCGCAGTGATTTCGGAGGCATGTAGTGCAAAGGCTTGAGGGCCAACCAGCATGAGATATTTGTTGCTGTTTTTGCTCGCGGACAGATCAGTTTGGGCAAATCATAGCAAACGGCAAATGCCGAGGGTGTGCGACCTCATTCACAATCATGAAGCTTTCTGTTTGAAGGTTGCTGTGTTGTATACTGTCTGGATTTGACAGTATATTGAGATTGTATTCGTTGAGGATCATCACGACATAATGCTCAGCCCACACACACACACACACACGCCGCGCGCCCACACGCACACACACGCGCGCACACAGACACACACACACACACACACACACACACACACACACACACACACACACACACACACACACACACACACACACACACAATGCCAAGCACCCACAGTATGCCAGAGGCTCTCACGCACCCACGCAACCAGGTACCCACGCACCCACGCACCCATGCACACCCCACACCACCACACCCCACACCCACACATGCTCACATGCACACATGCTTGCATGCTCACATGCTCACTCAGGCAAGGCGCCCACAGACACAGACGCAGACGGAGGCAAGCCGCAGACACACAGAAATTTGGACAAGGACACAGACGGCAAACCGCGCACACACAGACACACAGATACGCACACAAACACAGACACTGGCAGAGGCGTCGACACGCATGCACGCCAGCGCATACAGACACAGTCACAGGCACCGTCAGGCACAGACACATTTACTCGAGCGCCCGCACGGGTGGCACAGGAACCTGCACGCACTTTCACGCAATCCTGAGGCTAATACCGGCGAGAAGGTACGACGCCCTCACTCAGCAATCCCTTGCTGGCGACGGCAGCGCGCCTAGATTCAGAACCTTAGGCGTTGCTGGAGCTGGTGTCCAACTTTGTGTGCCAATGCTACGGTTCTTTCTTGCACCGTTTTGCGTGAGCCCATATTTGTTTAAAAAGAACCCAAATTGGTTTGTGTTCGGTATTCGGAGGACCCCCTTTGCCCATGGAAATCCACAAGTTTGTGTCACAGACCCGTGCAAGGGCCGGAGAGAAAAGAAAAAGCGCAAGCCGCAGGTTCCTCGGCCCAGCTGGCGCGGGTCCATGAGGGCTTCCGAGTGCTGGCGCTGGCGGTGCCCTGCCCCCCCTGGCCTGGGAACCCCCTGGACCCCCCACTCAGGCGGAAGTGGGTCAGCTTTGGGGACCTGACATGCACTTGTCGATAAGAGAAGATTCACCTCCAAATCCTGGGTTCAGGGTTGAACGTTGGAGGAAAGCTGCTTGCCAGGGCTTAGCCTAGGCAAGCTTATCATTTTGGTGGTAGATTTGGATACATGCTTGCCCCCGGTTCCGATGTGTTCGCTTGGCCAAATCCACGAAGTTGAAAAAGACGCCCACTTCTCACTCGGGGACTCTCTCTTGTCAGTTATGCTGCTTGTTGACCTCCAACCTCCATTGGAGCGTTTGGTTTATGGTCCCCCAAAGCGGTGGGTCGAAGCCACGTCCCCGTTCCCTCCGCGTGCTTTGCTTCAGCCAGGTCCCGGTTCCAGGCGCGCATCATCATGCCGCCCGCGCTGGTTTCTGCACAGCAGCTGACGTCCTTCTTCCCCGGCCCGGGAGCACAAGATCCCAGTTCTTTCCAGCCGTCACTCCTTTGTTTGGTGTTTGGATGTTCTGTCCCCGAAAATTGACACTGGGCGTATTTCTCTTTGCGAATGGTGGCTTCCTGTGCGCCCCTCACCATTGGACTCACAAGGACTCGGTGGGCTTGCTTCATGTCGGGAAGCATGATAAAACCTGAATGGTAGAGTTGTTTCCCAGATTACTCCAGAACCCATCAAAATGGTCGAGATAGAATCAAAAGGCTGGTTGCAGAAGCCTCGGAGTTGGTCAACGTGTTTGCCATTCATTTGCCTAACTTGAAGGCCCAAATCCTCAACCCTGCGGGGACGTCTAAGCGGTCATCCCTAGGTAAGCCCATGACAAGCTGAGGACAAGCCCGAAAACGGTCCTGTGCCATAGCACTCCTCCCTTGAATCAGTCAGCGACAAGGGTGCTAATTTCATGGAGATCCATGGTTTTAGAATGACCAAGTGACCAGTTGGTTTTAAAGCACCCGCCCCATTGGAGCTATTTGGCCCGGACTGTTTATCAGCCGTGGAGCCTCAGACTCTTGAAGCAAGCGGGTTGCTTGAATCCAGTTGATCGATTGGATGCCCTCTAGATCCCTTTTTGTATCACATTCAACTAAAAGGGAGCCAACCCAAAAGACGTGGTTTCAATTATTTTGCGGTAGTGTTTTTTTGAAGGACCGAGAGGAGATGGGACATGTTTGGTTTTTTCCAGGCTCCCTATTGCACACCCAGGCTCACTGGTTGCAACTTGGGACCCGATTGAGCACCCGGCTTACTTTCTTGGGAACCCTTGGGAACGTGCTAGATATCAGATATCACACAACGTTAAATCTGGAGGAATCAATAGTGAGGGCTTCTCTCTGAATTGGAACATGTTGGCAATCAACCAGGGGTTATGAATCCTGGATAGCCTTAAGCATATGTGTGGTTGTCCGATTGGTTCCCTTTAAACCAAGGGATAAACAAATAACTTCAAAGAAACACACACACACAAACACAAACAATCACACACATACCTGGAAGCATCCATTAGGCCTTTAGCTTTCAGGTTCTCCGCCAGGAATCAAGAGGAGTAGTGGAAATGAGCCTGTCCCCTTAAAGGAAGCCAGTTGGATGCAGTTGGAAGGTTCCCAGGGAAATCGGGAACCGCGGGTCTGTCTCAGCAAGGCCTCAGCAGCGAGGCGGATAACCTATTGCGGCGGCTCAGTGCGTTGCAGCGGGCGTTGGACAGTGGGCAGATGCCAGGCGCGGGACTGATTTGGCCGTATCGAGCCATCTATAATCATTTGCGCAAATTGTGGTGGGAGCGTTCCCACATTTGTTCTGCTGGTGAGCGAGAGAATACAACCAGCTGCATTGTCAAATGAGATACGGAACCCTCAATATGAGTTGTTTTGGGTTTCCTGCAAAATACAGCCTCAGAAATGGCACCCCACAAACACGTCACTATTTGCCGGGGGGTGTCTCAAAATTGAGAGATCCCTTCACGATCCAACAAAAGGTTCTCCGAAGCAAATATGCTCTTAGACCGGGGGGTCTCCAAATTTATGGAGACGCGAAAAGGGATGGCTTCCTTTGCGCTCCCCCCCCCCAAAAGAAAAACTGGGTTCCCAACAAAAAACGGGGCCTGCAACCATCTGGTTGCAACCTACATCAAAAGACATCCTCTCGCAAGCAAACCACGGGGGAAGCGCATGCCCCCTTTCCGCAGGCCACTATGTTTGGTGGATGGGGATCTCCCTGGCTGTGGAGTGGAACCAGAGTAGCCCCAACACGAGGTCAGTTCGCCAACCATTTATAGCCCTTGCAAATCCGATGGGTGTCTTCTTTGCAGCGTACTTTAGCGGTTTACCGCAACGAGCCCATGCCTTGGGCATGTGTCAAAAAAAGGGACCCAAAAATGGTGGTGTTCCCTTTTGTTTCCTGTTAAACCAACCCCAACAAAAAAGAACTAACAGACACAGCCCCAGCTTCGGCATTACACTTCATTGGGCCGCCAGTAGAACCCACTGAAACTCACTTACCCAAGCAATTCGACTTTGTGACCTGATAATCGTCCAATTTTGGTCCAAATGTCGACCTTATTGCCTTCTACCTATCCACAATTTTCCCATGTTGGTCCATATTTTTCCAAGGAAGGCAAGTCGAGAACCCAAAAGGTTAACCGTTTTGTCCAACTCTGAGCATCCGCAGGAGGGCTCCGTGCGCCCACGCTGACCTTCGACGCCGTGCAGCGGCTCCTGCGCTTGGCCTTTTGGCTGAGAGAGACGCGATGAGACGCGACGGCGATGCACGGCGTTTCGTTTACGGCTCAAGGCAAAGAACCTGAAATGCAGGGGGCGAAGAACCTTTGAAATCCTCAAAATTATCAACAATACTTCCTTTACCCCCTCGTAAATGCAATGAACCTTGGGAAATACTCACATGCAGGGAGGACTGGGCCAAAATCTTATCACCCTCTTTTGGATGGCTTGTCAAAGAAAAGCCAACGAAAAGCTACGGCCGAGTTTTAGGGGCTACAACTTGTGACGGAGCAGAAGCGATTTTGATTCGACAAGCCTGGAATGGTGTTGTCTTCGGCAGCCGACGGGGTTGCTTTCATGTCCGAAAACCCATTTGAGTGTATATTTATTGAGAGCTTACATAGTCTTTGTTTGGTGGTGGGGGCCCTCCCCTGCAAACATCATAAGGCGTGCCGTGTCTGAAGGGTGGGCCTGGTTCCAATGCAATCAAAAACAATAATTAGTGAGGCCCTCTGTGGAACAAACCCACAGTGCAGCTGCTTTTTTGCCTGGAGCCTTTGTAGCTCCAGAATGATTGGAGGCTCCAAGAATGGCTCAACACGTTGCAATATGGGAGGGTCCGCCACTGTTGGACTCTCTTCTCGGAGAGGAGGGTGCTCTGCAACATGGAACCCCCAAAAGGGGGGGCGAGTCTCAAAAAGGAGATTGAGATTCCTCTTAAAGGAATGGTTATTGGGGTTCCGTGTTGGACCCCCATTTGGGTGGCTTTTGAGGTGCTCCCTGCAGATGCGCTGAGCAGTGCTGCAGAGGCGCGGGGGGTTTTGGCCGGGTGCCAAAAATGCACTTCCCCCACAGGTGTCCTCCCCAAAGTAGATGGGTACGGGTCAAAATTAAACCACAAGGGGACCGCAGGTTTTAGTCCTTGTTTCCATTTACTAGGGTTCCATTGGGGGTACCCATTTTTGACCCACACCCAGATGGAACCAAACTGGTTTGAGATCACATACCATCAACAGGAGGAACATTGTAGCCGTGCTATGGGGAGTTGCCCGCTTAGCTCGGAGGTGGGGCAAGGACTGGGATGTCTGCGTTTACCATCCCTCAAGGGGTTAGGTCAGAGAAAGACAGAGACACACGCAATAGCTGCTACTAATTGCACGCCTTCCTTTGTGTTGCTGTATCGTGGGTTCATATGGCGGATGGTGCTTTGCTAAGCAAGATATTTGAGCATCCTAAGTTTGTTGCAGTCACCGTGAGCAACGCAGCAATAATCACTTGTTGAAATCGGACATAAAGCCTGCAAAGCGAGATGGTAGCGAGACCCAGTGCACACAGTGGTGTTGGCCTCAAAGCGTACTTGCGTGTACTGCACTGTACTTAAAAAGTTGGGACTTTCGAGCTGGAAGTGTGCTTCATGTGCTGCACTCGTACTCGAAGTTGCGACTTTTGAGCTGGAGCTGCCAAAGTCCGATCCATTTTCATACGCTAGACATTCGCAAGGCAACGCGCGGTTAGGATTGCGCGAAAGAAGCTTCTCACTCTGACAGCAGACAGCAGGCCATACGTAGCATCACATCCGGGCGCTCGCGAAATGGCACTTGCTAGTGGAAGATTGGCTCTTCTCCTACTCGGTCAAACACTTTATCTTTACCCGCCGGCTGGGAGATCGCTCATCGTCAAAAGCCGGAAGGTTGCTTAGTCTCAGGCCAGGGCTATGCGACAAGTATTAGGTTCTTGCCAAGGGCTGTACTACAAGCATCAGGTTCTTGCCAACAACGCCCTTGTCCCTCGAAGCCAATCAAGGCAGCTTCAGAGGTTGCCTAGCGCAACGCGACTGCCCATGGTCAAGTGTCAGAGGAAAAACCGTTCTAGAGCACCTCACACACAACCGTCCTCCACCCAGCGCTGAAGGGAAGGTGAACATCGAAGAACTTCCGCAAGTCGCTGACGCTAGCTGAAACATCACCTGTTGAAGGGGGAAAATCCGTTTGGTGAATTTCCTTAGAGGTTGGTGATGTTTTTTCAGGCGTCTAGGTTGGGGGTAGCCCTTTGCGATTGCAGGCTCGTGCTTTTGCCACGGAAAGATGGAGGTCCACCTCCTCGGACTCCAAGTCAACCGAACGCTCAATTTCCCCCGAAAAGTACGATCTGTTGGATCAAGGGACGCCTTCTCTCCGTAGAGTGGAGTGGCTTTCAAAAAGGTCAGTTCATCAATGCCCAAACAAGCGGTTTCCCCAGTGGCGAACCCCGTTTTTGCTGGTTCAAGGGATTTAGTGACATGGACACCACCGGGTTTTTTAGACATTAGGCGATGGTATGGAGTAGCGCAATGCTAATTACTCGGACAGTATAAACCTGGCCGGGCCATCAAATTTGGGGCGGTTCACACCCCCCAGGTACCATCATACTGCTCACGCCGTGCCGTGGAGAGCACCACACCTCCCCCGGCCAGGCCTTCGATCGAGTCTACCCCTTGGCGCTGCTGTGCCGACAGCCGGCCGCCCAAGCAGCGGCGGAGCAGCTCTTGAGGCACTTCGACCTGGCGCAGGAAATTCCGCGCGTTGTTGCGCGCGGTTTCGCGCGCGGTTTCTCCCAAGGTGCCAAGGTCCCCCCCTTTTTGGGGTTGCTTCAAAAAACGGCTCAGTTGCCCAAAGTGAACCTCTTGACTCTTGACCTTTGGACCTTGGGCCCCTTGTTGTCCAGGTTTAGTGCTCAGGATAGGTTGGCCTTTGATTTCCAGGTCGTCCATGGGCTTCCTTTTCCCATGTTTGAGCGGTACCCAAAAAGATGCCGGGTTGAATCAAAGGGAAACAGGAAGAGGGTTTTCCTGTTTGGACAGTCCGAACCTTGTACCAAGGACCAGACCAGGGGCACAAGGGTAGGACAGTTGTGAAAGGGTCTCTGGAGCAATACTGCTTCAGACTCGCCAAATAAAATATGATCCAGAACCTAAAGATCATATGTTAGGGCGCAAACGCGAAGGTGGCGAAGGAACACAGAAGCAAACCCAGCAGCTTCCGGGCCACTCACGGGTCAGCCTTTGCAGATGAAGCGTACAATTGACATGGAACCCGAATACACTTGAGTAAGTCAGGCACAAATAATTTCTTTACAAAAGCTCCCTTTTCTTGTGCCGTGTTAATGGGCAGAGTACCAAGACAAACGACGCGGGGCATGGCACACTAACAGCTGGTTGGTTGGGCAATTTCTGGGTTCTTTGCAGGCTGTCTCGGAAAAAGAAGCGCCGATTTTGGAACTCACATGCAACGTGGCATAGGAGCCACGTGCTTGGACCTTGGCAGGGAGGCAAGGGGGGGGGGGGGTGGGGGTGGGGGGCCTGAGCCTGATCCTGTACCTGGCTTTGAGTGGCCTCCAAATGTTTGAGTATGACTCCAGCAGGAGTCCACCCCATTTTTTGTGGGGTCGGCGATCATTTCAGAATCAACCACACGAAAGGTTTTCTGTTTTACCCGTGATTCTGGGAGAGTGAGGTGGTGTCCATTCAAATGCCAAGACAGGAAGCCCTTGCATCCATCAGACCCTCTCAGAGATGCGGGTCTGGACGGCGGCGCTGGTTTGACTTCGAGTCTTCCTGTTGTCCCTGCCAGCGCGAAAGAGTACTTCCTGGAAGAAGAGGTGCAAGGCATTCCGTGAGAAAGAGGTGGCTTCAAAACCAGGTGCACTTCCCGGGAAAAAGCGGTTGTTGCGGATGTGTGCCGCCGCAGAAAGAAGGGGCAAGGACGCAGTGACACTGAAGGCAATGCAGAAGCTGCGATCATGCGCCCACAGGTACATCAAGTCACATGCTCACGAGTGGTTGCAGGAAGATCCAGGAATTCACTGGGATCTCCCTCAACAACATATGTTACATTTGAGGGCAGACTAATATGGAATAGGGCCAGAAAGCTGTGTTTTGTGAGCCCCAGATGTGGGCCAAGCTCAGCGTAGATAATCAAACTTGACATCAGGTTCCTTGTCATAACTGCAAAATGGTGCTTGCTACTCCGGCTCCACGGCAAGACAACTCAGGCACCCTGCAAGCCCTGAAAGCAAAATGCAGAAACTGGCTGTGAAGTCAGATGCCTACAGCCCGACCAGTAGCACAAAATGGGAGCCTCCCATGCTGCCAGCATGAAATCGGGATCTTAGAACGATCGAGGATGGTCTACGAGGCCGTTGGATACTTGTTTTGTTTGAGGGTTCAGTTGATTGGTTCAGCGGGCCATTTACTCGCAATGTTGGCCAGCATAAAACATGGTTGTACCAAGAGGTCATGCATAGGTGCTCAATAAATTGCACTTGTCGTGGGGTCCGAGTTACTCCCTCTGAGGACCACAGAACATACCTGACTCTTTGTGAACTTTACTACGCCGTGCGTCTTGCTGCTAGCTCAATTGCGGGTCGCAGATGTGTGAGCATCCCAAGCTAGACTCACTTCATGAAGGCAGAGTTGCCTGGTTGAGATGCGTTTGCTCTGCAACAATTCTCCTGAAGAAGCTTGCGCTTTGCTCATGGCTGAGGAGACAACTTACCACCAATGTTTAGGTGTCTGACAGGCTTGCCTGTGCCTTCAGGTTGAGTTTGTCTCAAAAGCTCGGCGACCTTTCAACCACTCGGCTTAATTTCCCGCTTTTCCTGTCAAGTTGAATCGGCCATGGCAATGCCTGGCAGTTGCTTCCAAGGGCGACCACATCTTTCCGCATCAGTCTAGCTGTGGTTTATCAAAAGGCTGAGTTTGTGAGCCAACATGTACCGGTGTAGTATATGTTTTGTATATATGTATGATTGATATGTAGACGTACATGTAAACGCCTAGTTTGGAAAACCCGCGTGGCATCAGTTCGTTGTTTGATTCATACAACCAGCCTTGTGCTCCGTGACAAATTGGACTGGGCTCCATGTAAAGCGCGGCCTGATGCGTGTGGCACTTTGTGCTTTTGCAGGTGTCCCCATGTGTTTCAACCATTGTTCTTTTCAAAGAACCGGCGGTTTTTGAGGATGGCGGTTTTCTGGAAAGGATCCCTGCAAAGAATGGCGATGGGGAAGTCAATCGTAGGGTCGCTGAGCCGTACTAATAGAAAAAAAAGCCAGTGGCCCCTCTTCTGCTGGCTCGGTGGCCTTGCGTTGCATCGGCTTTGGCCAATGTGCCTTGGAGCCTCGGTTTTTGTCCGGACTCTGCGCAGTAGCAGCCGCGGCGGCCTCATGCAGCTGGAGCTGGACGACGGCGAAGGCGCGGACGGCTGACATTTGGTTGGAGCATGCTGGCATATACAATTCTGTATATACATTATATATATATATATCATAATATGCATAATATATATATATATATGTACAAATCACATTTTGGCCAGTAGGACTTTCTGACATTTCGCCATCCTCGTTTGGCCTTAGGCCACCACGGACAGCTCTCGCTGGCGTCGCCCTGCATCGCCGCGGCGTCCAGTTTCTTCGTGGCCGCGCCCAAGCTGCGGCCAGTGCTGGCACGCCTGGCGCAGGTCGGGGACGGGAGAGTACCAAGGGGATCTGGGAATTGTTAGGGGACCCTTCAGACGGTTTTTCGTTTGGATTCCCTGTACCCCAAAGGGTGCTCTTAAGCTTGGAGGATCTGAAAATCTTCAAATAAGAAGCGGTTCTTAAGCCCTATAGGAGACCCCTCAAATGGTTTTCCGTTTGGTTTCTATTTCAAGGGCGGTCCTGAATGTTTTTTTTGTTGTTGATTTTTTTGGAATGAGGCGGAAGTAAAAGAATGGGGTCAAAGCACATCTTTGGTTTGGGGGCAAAAGCTGAGATAGATCCCACGCGGTTTTAGGTGTTCCCAAAGGAGCCAAACGGGGATGCATAATTGACCCCGGTTGAGCATCTGGTAATTGTATGCACCTTCCAATTTCAGCAAATGGCGATCTCACCAGAAAGTGTCCGAACTTACCCATGATGAAGCTTTCATTCACAGGCACGTCTCAATTTCATATATTGGCTGGTGAAATCATTCTAGTCCACCAGTTCCACAGGCAGAATGAAAGCCATTCTGTTTACATCACTAGTGCTTCGAACTGGTTTAGAACCAGCTGATAAAGCGTGGCCAGTCTTAAACATCACCAGTTGCCATCGACTCAAACTACGCCGGCCGTGCAGACAAAGCCAGTGCAACAGCACCTGGTTTGCGCATCACCTGGGATTTCAACATCGCCGCTGTCTTGTTGGTCAGTGATTGCAGCATGTCCATGTCCAGCTTTGTAGCACGGCCACTCTGTGCAACGAGGCAAAAGCATATCTGGCAGGTAAAAAGGAATGCAGGGCCTGTTTAGAGATGGACTCAAACGGAAACAAAATAGTTACAAAGGTCCCTTTTACACATACCACATCCACAGAAGCAATGATTCCAACCTGCTCGTACGGATGGTCCCGTCGAAAAGGGTTTGTCCCGAAAGCATTGCGAAGGGTTCTTCAGGAAACACATGGCGCCGATTGTGCAAGCCAAGTTGTACTTGCAAGTTGCACAAGGAAGTTGCGAAAGTAAGTGACACAAGCAAGTTACATGAGAGATTGCTTGAGAAAGTTAAACAAGCAGGTAACATCAGCGGTTGCTAGAGCAAGTTACACGAAGAAGATGCCGACCCCTCTCGCTGTGGGTTATGCGAATCTGTAACATCGCGGATGAACCCTTTGCTGCGTGGATCAGGGGGTCGAGGATCAAACTCCCGATTGCTTGGGTACTTTTAAAGCGGTGCGTGCGCGACTCTCTGTGTGGATTGACGGGCTTCGAGGTTCAAAAACTGAGGGAAAATGCCAAAACGTGCTCGAAAGTTTGCGCTCGTGGGGACCATGGTTTCGAGGTCAAATCCCCCTTGGTCTGGGCGAGCTTCGAGACAGGTTAGCAGCCCAGCCGGAACATCGTATTTTGTAAGTGCGAAGATAATACACGAAGTACGCCGGCGCAAATTGCAAACTCTAAGCGCGAAACTAGTGCGCGATGCGTGGGTGCATGCTTTTTGATGTCTTCGGGCCACCCATTTTCTAGCTGCAGCATGTTGTTTCTGCAGACTAGTCACAAGGCGAAGCATGAATCTACTGAGACACCATACTTGGCCGCTCGCTCATGGGGCTCAAGCAAGGCCAGAGCCAAGAGGGCGAATGTTGCCTGAAGCCCGTGTTCAGCAACACCAATGTACAGGGCTGGGTTTACGCCTGTGTTTTTCTTTCCACAACGGATTACGGGGGATTTGGGATCTGGTGGTTATTGGGTTTTGTGGGACTATGGGTAACTTCTCAGAACTTCTTGGGGCTGCCTCAGGACTTCGCTGCAGGCAGTGACTGCCTCTTGGTGGGCCCGGCTGGCTGCGGCAAGTCCGCTCTGGCGAGGTGTGGGGCCTGAGAGCTACAGGACAAATGGGGCTGGTCTCAGAACGGGGGATGGGTCAAAATTCAACCAGGGGACCGCAGGTTCTAGTCCAGGTTTCTTTTTTTTACCTCGGGTTCTATTTTGGGTTTGCCTATTTTTGACCCACAGGGGGTTGGTCTCAGAATGGAAGATCCTGAAAAGAGATGGTTTTTCTTTAAAGTATCGTACGAACAGAACAGCGCATGGTAGAAAGATGGGTTTCGTTTGAACCAGTCAGAATGGCGCAGTTGTCCAACTATGTGTGTCCTTTCAGGGTGCGCCTTCAAGGGTTACTTCAAAAGGATTTCCCCATCTAGAGACAACCCCAAGTGCTTCACACGTCTGGACCTTGAACAAGGTAACAAGGTCTCATCTCCATCAGCGCTGCGCAAGCTTCTGGGGCCAACATGAGAGGGCTGAGTTATTCACTGAGACGACATGCTCAAGTCTTGATTTCCGGCACTTACATGTGGTGTCAAAGATTTTGTCCTTGGACACCTAACCTAAACTACCTCATCTATATGCAAGCATTCCAGGCTTGAGGTGGATGGAAGGTGTCTTGCAAAAGCGAAACAATCAGGAATGGCGTGCAGTCTGCCTCAAGCGATAGTGCTGGGAAAAGATGTGCCCGGCTCAAGTCAAAGGCATTGTATGGTCTGGAATCCTTATCAGTGCGAAAGTTATGAAAGATCAGATTCCCTGCGAGTGTAGCGGTCTGCTGAAAGCGCAAGGTTCACATGACAGGCATGGGGCAAGTTTGCCCGGCAAACATCTAGGTTGGGGGATTTTTGCCGGGCGTCGTCAGGACTTTGCAAAGGCTTGTCCAGGGTATGTCCAATGTGCATCGAATGGAGCATCCTTTCTGTAGATTGTGTTTGGAATTGGGCTCTGTTGCCCAGTGGTGCCCTTTCTTTCTTTTTTGGGGGGAAAGGTTCCCCTTTAAACTCAAGCAACAAAAAGGTGCCTTTTTTTGCCATGGCCACTGGGCATCTGAGGGGGGGGGAAGTGGTGCGAATTCAGATGAAACACCAAAACCGCGGTCTAAGACAGCTTATCTAGAAAGTCAGTTGGGGGTTGCAAGATGTTACCACGGGAATTTGTTGCATGCATCATGGTCAATGTACTTCGTGGTGGGCTATCACAGCGCGCTCGGGAAGCTCCAGCATTTGTTTGGTTGCCGGCTCTTATGGCCTTGCTTCTGTCCAGGCACCTGGCCGGCTTGCTGGGCCACGGTGCCCCCGGCGGGACCGGGCTGGAGTTTTTCTTCCTGCACGAGGAGACGCTCGTGCAGCATTTGGGTATGTGTCAAAATTAAGGACCTTGAAGATGGTGGTTGTTGTTGTGGTTCCCTTTATATACACTAAGCTGAGAAGGCTACCCTCAAAAACAGAGAGAGAGAGAGAGGCACACACAGAGACACGCGCACACACACACACACAATTTCCGCTAGGGGTGGCTGGCTAGTGCAAACTTTGATTGGCTCGCTGATGGCTTGTCCCGCTGGATGGCTGCATGAGGGCTCGACGGCTTGGACTGAGTGCTTGCTAACTTTGTTTCTTGCTGGCTGGCTTGACTCAGCGTTTCTTGCTGGGTGTGTTTGCATATGTTTGCTTGCTTCGCTTGCTGACAAGTCTGATGGCTCCTGCCGTTCTACCGTTCTACTTGTGTCACTCCTGTTCCCGCCCCCAAATCGGCCTATTTGAAATGCCTCCTTTCACTCTCGGTGATATGTAAGGGTCACACCTTCGCAACCGTTTGAACCCTTGAATTCAACCATCGAAACATGCTTTTGTGGACGTTGTTCCTTTTGCATAGGAAGTGGACGACATGAGCTGAGATCCGCCTGACCAATGCAAGGCACAAATTCGACCGCCGGAATGATGATAGATCTACACGTTGAAGCTTTGCAAGCCCACAGACCTGTCCTATTGCACGACCTCTTGACAATTGTCAAGCGCATTGCATTCTATTGAATTTCACAGTCATGGTGTCTTCGTTCAGCTGTTATGCCCGGCTTCCCCAATGCTGCCTTCTTGCAAATCCTGCCATGCGGGCGTTTCATCTGCCTTTTGCCAAATGGGTTTGAGCCATTTCCGTCTCGACCATTTCCCAGCTGTCCAACTAAAGGCCCAAGTGTGTCGGCATAGGGAAACTCGGAACCCCCGAGTGGCTTGGAGAGAGATTTGCAGCTGCCTGTGGCGCAGTCCATTTAGTGCTGTCTATACTGGAATGTGGACTATGGTTTGTTGAGCTCCTTTTGGAGTTTGTTCAATCAAAAGAATGGCATCCAATGTGTGCGTCCCCTTTGACCACCCGTCCTTTGGGGTCCTTTTGGTGTCTTGAAGCACTGCAGATGGGCGAAATTCTGCACCAGTTAGTGGTTTATTCCATCACAGGCTTGACCATCGTGGACTTTGACCACATCCATGGGTTTTCACCGAATCCCCGTTCTAAGGATGTCCTCGCGGGATTTGCTGCAGCGGAGGGCCACCAACGATCTGGGGGACACCGTTTGGGTGGACTCCCCCTTGGTGCGAGCGGCACGCTCCGGCGCTTCGACCGGAAAGGAACTGGGAAAGGGCGGGCCAATTGCCATGCTGTCAAAGTTTCTGTTTCTTGAATTGTATCTTTGTAGTTTTCTTTTGTTTTTAAAGTTTTTAATTGTTTGAAAACAAAATAACCTAGCCAGGTAGCCACTTGGGGGCCCCAGATAGCACTTCGGAACTGTTTTGAAGGAAACCAAAAGCAAACCAAAAGCCCTTCCCGAAAGTCCCCATTCTGAGTCCGAAAGAGGTCAGGCCCACGAATGAACAGATGTGAATGTTTGAGGTGCCCTTTTCAGCCTCCAAAGGGAAATCACGGGGAGGAACCCGCGTATTTTTGGGGGTCCCTTGATTGCTATTCGGTTGGATCTTTAGACTTTAACTTTTTGGAAAATAAAGGGGTTTTCCACTAAACCCCCAAAAAGTTATTCACTTTTTGCAGGGGGGTCAACAGCAACCAAGGTCCCCTCTTTTGGCCTGCAAAACCACCTCCCCCGCGAGGCGCCCTGTGCATCCTGGACGGGGCACACCGCCTCAAGGGTGACGCCCTCTGCGCTTTGGCGCCGCTGCTGCAGGCGGAACCTGGGGCCAGGGGGTCCTGAAGCAACCACAGAAAGTCTTCCCCGGAATTAGCTCCCCTTTTTGTTGTTTTTGCTTTTTTGGGGTCCCTGTGTTTTTCACTAACCAGGCAAATATATATATATATATATGTAGATATATGTAGATATATATATATATATATGCTGGGGTCCTGATTCCAGCCAAGAAGTGAGGCTGTTCCATTTTGGGTTTCTTACTTGGCTGTGGCTCAAAAAAACAATACCAATATGGAACCCTGGTAAGTGGAAACATGGACCAAAACCTGCGTATCCCCTCCTGTTTAATTTTGAGCCACACCCACTTGTCCAAAGCCGGCGCTTGGACCTTTGGGTTCTTCCCTGTTGGTCCATTTGTAGTAAAGGTGCCAAAGGGTAACCTTGTATTTTCAAGTCCTCTGGGCAGGTTTAGGTTTCTGTTGAGACCCTTTGAGCTTTGAGGTACACAAAATCCGCGCAAGGCACCAGTTGGCAGATGGTGTCGCCCAATAGTTGGAGGGCTTGGTCCCAACTGGTTCTATCCACAGTAGTGGAAATCAAACCTTCAGATCTGCTTGAGCCAATCCATTCGGGAGGTCAGGTTACGGCGACGGGTGTCGGTTTTTTTGAGGCAGGAGTTTCTAGTTGGGTTTGCTTTTTGAGGATGCCCTTTTCGGCTTGATCTCAAGGGACGCCAAAAGGAGAACCACCCCTGGGGCCCCTAGTTTGATGCATACCCATTTAAACATCAACTACCTGAACACCTATGAAATTAATCAGGAAAGCCTTGGCGTTCCCTGTGTTATAGAAGGCGTCGAATGGTTCGCTTTGGTTTGGGGGGGTGGGGGTCCTTCAAATTGGCTGGGAAAGTGGTTGGCAATCCAGCCGTGCAGAAAGCAAGTCGCTGGCTTCGGCAACACGAGCGAGCAGCTCTGCTGACTTCCCAAACTCTGCCAGATGCTTGCACATCCTTCTTGGAGTAGCACCTGGGGATGGTCCTGGGACAGGGTCTGTGCGTGGAAATCTCGAGCTGGGCCTTTTCCGAGCAGAGCTGGGCCGCTGGGCCCCCAAGGGTTGGTGCCCCTTGCGCCAGATCCAGTGGAAACCAACCCGTTCGAATGGTCACCGATTTGAAGAACCCCACAGCTTGTTCCGGCAAGGGGCTTCCTTGAATGACCTGATATCCTGCTTGCTCCGTCTCTCTTGTAGCGGCCCCTTCCCAGTGCACAAGTGAGTGCCGCTCACCAGAGGTTCGGATGTCAAGGACCATATCTTTCGGGACCCCTCAGTCAGGTTCCACGGCAACGGGGACTGGAGGTACGTCCGTCAGATTCAACTTCAAAGTCCGAAGCTTTTTCAGCGACTTCACCAGGTCACCAAGCTTTGCCTTGCATATATACGCATATATACATATACGTTGGTATATCATCAGAACTAGATCCTGGGCATGTACTCTGACAACAGCGAACCCCTGTGGAAACCACCTGTTCCAGTTTCAGGTTTGGGGCTGGGGGATAGCGCGTGCAGTGCAGTCACTGACTGACCGACCGACCGACTGACTGACCGACCGACTGACCAACTGACCGCATGACTGACTGACTGACTGACTGACTGCCTGCTTTGGCTGGTAATTTCAATGTGGGACCACTTTTTAACTTGGTTGGGCATGAATCCCCACCCCAAATGATGTCCACTAAGGGGATCCCAAGGGGATCCAAAGGGCTCAAAGCTCGCACCGGAAGCGTCGGCCCCAGGACCGCCAAGTGTGCCTGGCAGTGGCGGGCGATCCCCAAGGACGAGGGCTGAAAAGGGTGCCCTAGGACGCACCAGTGTGGTTGTGTAGGTAAATCACAAAAAGCCATCTGGGTCTTTAGTCATGCAACGAAAAGCCCTGGGAAATTCATGTAGTGCCTGGAAAGTTATGGCCTCTAGTGGGCATGCATCACTGATGAAGGTTCGGTCTTAGAATTCCTGGATGGAGTTCTTTGGGTGTCCCTTCGTGAAGCCACGGCGTCCTTATGCCCACACTCGCCCCGGTTCTTCGGCGGCTCCTTTTTCGTTCAATTCGCAGTGAAGCTGACCGGTCGATTCGACCAGAAAGCTGCGGAATATGGTCTCCACTACCCCGAACCCACTACAATTGACCACTCAGAGAAGAGTGTTCCTTTTCCCCTTGGACTCACTCCCACAGGCCAGTCCATAAGAATGCAAGGACGATCCGGTTAGGCGCACCTCGTTGTTTTGGGACCAATTCGTTCGGTTTCCCGCAAGGAAACGTGCTTTCAAAAAGGAAATCCAAAGGACACCAACAGCCTGAAGGAATTGGTCCCTGATTCCCCAAAGCAGCAGGTGGACCGAGCAAATGCGGTGAACTGCAGGGTGTTCAGCTAAAATTATAAGCCAACCACAACAACAGGATGATCAACTCAAGATTTAGGGGTTTCCCTTTTGCAGGAGACCCCGATGTTGTGGGCACCACCCCCCCCTCCCCCCCAATCTCTCAGGAGCCACCTGGGAGCTTTTGCTGCGGGCGGACCGGGTGCAGAGCCGTGCACTCAGTCAGATCGAGTCTGACTGACCTGGGGCTCCGGGGGGGTTCTCAACATATGAATCGGCTCCTAAAGGATTCCCTTAAAATGCCAACCCACCAGGGACCCACCCATTTTGAGAAAATGGGTTTGTCTGAAAGGGAACCCTCGAAATGTAGTTTTTGTTTATTTGGTTTAAGCGGGGCCCAGCCCACTTTCCCATGTCCAAACGTTAGGGGAATGTTGATCATTGCTCAGTGTCTCTCTCCAGTTCTTGTCGAGTTGTTTGCCCGAAAAGCTGGATGCATCGCCTGCGGGTGCTGTGAAAGCCGTGCGCTTGCCTCTCTTAGGGACTCCGGAACTGGGCAATCTACACGCGAAGAGTAGTTGAGTCCAGGTTTGCCACTGTAGTTCTGGTGCTTGGGTGAGGGAAGCCAGAAACAAGTCAAACGCGTCCGGGGTGCCCCTGTTGTGGGACACTCCCAAGGGAGCATTGATCAAGACGCAATCGACTTAGCTTCAATGTGTTAAAAAATCAGAGCTCAAACTGAATCACATTCCTTCTCGTCTTGCATCCATGCTCGCCACATTGTCTTTTGTTTGGGAAGGGAGGGGTGACTGGACAGGCAACTGTTCAAGTCGTGCTGTTTGTTTCAGTTTGATTGCATACCGTTGGGGAGAGCTATTTTTTGGAAGTTGTCTCTTTCCTTGCGATCACACGGGGATTTGGTTAACTTTCGGTTGCGGCTGCATTTTTTAGATGTGCGATTCCGTTGGGCTTTGATCCACTCGTTGCATCTCCTTCACTCCTTTCAGGTTGGGCTGCTGCAGCCATTTTGAGAATCTCGCCTTAGCTTTCCTCGTGTTAACTTAGCCGTCCCCCAAAAGCTCCAGCACGAAAATCGCTTGCCTTGTAGTACAAGCGTAGCACCTGGAGTACACTTCAGCAGCTCCAGGTTTCATGCTCTTGCAATTTCACGGGAAGCACTGAAGAGACGTTGGGACGACTTCTGGATCTTGCGATTCCAAGTTTCAATGCAAGGACTGCGCTGACTTCAACTGCAGTCACTTTCTTGGATCTTGCGATTCCGAGCGTTTTAATGGCGTGATTGTCGCCCAAAACCGCGCGATTGTCGCCCTGGTTTCAAAGCTAGTTGGTTAGCCTATCTTCTGGCAGTTTCTTGCAACAGTGGCTAAAGGATGGAAACTCTCCGCAGGATGCCCAACTGATTTGGAAGGCGGGTGAAGGCGTGTGGTGACTTCAACGGTTCCATGTGCCTGGCCCGGCCCCGCTCGCAGGCGTAGGCTTCGACACGGCCGCCGGCTGCCTCGCTCGGACCCGAGTCAGCGAGCGCGCCGTCCGTCGGGAGTGTTTGCTGAGTCAGCGTCTGGGGATCACAAAAAACTGGCCTTCGGGGCGCATTTTGTTCTTCTTTGGACTGCTGTAATAAATTTGGATCGGCTTCCTTCTTTTGGAGGAGGTGTGTTGCTTTTTGCTTGCATTGTTTAAGGGTTGTCCTTTTGGAATCAACTAGTAGCCCCTTGTATTGCTGGGCCGTTTCATTTTCCCATTGGGAAACCAAAAGAAGATGGCGCGTTCTTTATTTTTGCAGACATGGCTTTCACCCAGACGCCACCCAGTGATTCAATTTTGTATACCACCCGAAAGAAGAATCACCTCAAGGCTTACCCGCCGATGGCGAGACGTCTGGGATCTGGCAACCCTGCTTGACTGTTTCGGATTCGTGGGATGTCACTTCTGGCTCAAATCCGTGCAAACCCCTTTTTGGGTGCTTGGGGTTCGTTCGGCGATTTGAATGCCTGGTTCTTGAGCCACCCGCTAGCACACCTCCAAACCAACCATTGCTCGTGCTTCAGATTCCTGGGATGGGACATTCTGGCCAACCGAATCCGGGCCACCGGGTGCCACCGGCCGGACCCCCGCCTTCCCGGCCGGGCCAGCGGTCGCCGCTTAGGTGGGCGCCATCGCCCCGAGCTTCCGGGTGCTCGCGCTGGCGGAGGTCCCTACGGCGCAGAAGCCGTGGCTCAGCGAGGAGCTGGCGGCCTGCTTCAGCACCCACAGCGCCCCGAGCGAGATCTCTTTGTTGTTCTGGTGCTGCTTTTGCGTTGTTTCTCTTGTTTTTAGTGCGGATTTTGTGTTTTCTGTTGGTTTTTGGTGCTGGTTTTGTTGCGTCTGTTGTTGTTTGGACTTATTTTCTGTTTTTGTGTTGTTTTGTTTGCTTGTTGGGGGTGTGAGGTCTTCAATCAGAGTTTCTAGTCTAAGAGTAGACAACATATGTACGGGACTGTTGTTTTGCGGGGGTAGAGTCGATTTTGCAACCTGTGCGTTTAGGGTATCATTTATTGTTGGGCTTCTTGGCACCAAAATAGCCTCTAAGTGTCCCTGGCACCGGGGGGCACCCTTGTTTCTTTGCAGGAAACCAGAAGAAAATCCCTTGTTATGACACATGCCCTTTTGTTCACCCAAACGAGGAAATGGGCACATCAGGAGTACATGGCACAATTCCCTTGAACCGACATGAGAGAAACGAGCCATTTTTCACCCAACCGTATGTGTCAAAGCAGGTGTTCCTTTTGATCCCCTTTCAACCAAGCTGAAGTAGGTACCCTCAACAAAATACGAACCAATTGGGGGTGGTGATCCACCCAGTTTTGATAGGGTTTCATCCACACAATCCTGATGCAGGTTTGTGTCCATCAATAAGAAATGGACCCCCAAGGTGATTTATTGTTGTCTTCCCTTCGCAGAACAAAATTCGGATGACACCAGAAGAAATGTATTTGTCGACCAGCAGGAGGAAGTATGGGATCTCTTTCTCTTTTGAACTGAACTTACATTTTGATGTTGAATCAATATGGGCCAGAATCAAAGATATGTTTTGGTCCCGGGACAAAAGCTGAGGTGGATAGAAATGGGCACAGAAATATTTCCGTTTGAGTCCCTTTAAAGCAAGGTAACTCTCCGTACGGGGAGTGAGCGTGTATGGCAAGAGGAAACGAATCTCCGTTGCCCTGCCTCTCCCCAACTGGCAACTCCCTCAAAACAGGTTTGTTTGCTTTTTGGGTAGGGTTTACCACTTACCAACTGGGTGGAACATCCCAGCCAGTGTTTGCACCATCCTCTGCGACTGAGGCAAGCAATAAGGAATCAAGATGGAATGTTTTCCCTACGAAATCCGAGCAAGCGCTTGAATCTCCAATTTCACATCGAACCGCATTCCTGATTAGCATGACCAACCGCGATTTCATCATAGAAGGACGTTACCAGGTTGAAAGACGCCAAGCTAGCTGACGTTTCTTCAGAATGGACATTGGGGGCTCCAAATATGTTATCCCTCAAGGTTGACTGGATATAGCACAGATGGTTGAAATCTGACTTTAGCGCATAGGCCAAGTTGTGGACTCCTGGGTTGACATGCACACTTGCTTGCCCGGCAAGAAACCATGCAACAAAAACCTTCTGAGTCGCAAAGGGATGAATCCGACATGGACACTATGATATGCTCGTCAGAAACACGGAAGATGCGGATTCCCTGTAGAACTCTTCAATTGCTCCTGGCGTTCCTCCTTGCTTACCACTGGACAAGTTGTCACGTCGGAGCCCCGAGCATTCCCAGACGAAGATTCCTTTCCCAGGTCCCCGTACCTGATGGGACCACCGTCTGCTTGTGACCTCTTTGGCTCGCAGCCGCACATCGACGTAAATGCCAAGTATTGGCCCGTGGTTTTGCAGGCAAAAAATGGGAATTCCCTACGTCTCAATTCGGGGGGTCAACCTGGTCTAGTGGCACAGATTCGGCTCGCCAGGCTGGTATCCCTGAAAGATCAGATCCCAGTTTATCTGCCCTGAAACTGTCGGCCACTGGGAATGCCCTTTTTTTCGGCTTGCGTTGCCCAGGTGTTTTTTTTCTCCCAGGCGCCCTTGAACTTAGAATCTTCCTTTTTTTTGGAATGAAAGGGTTCCCCTAAGGGTTTTGCATGTTCAAGGATCAACTTGAACGGTATGTGTGGGAGAAAGTTGAATGAACGAATTCAAATGTTACAAATCATTGAACCTATGCCTCCCCAGAAAGCCGCGAGCGGCTTTCGCTCGACTCAGGCTACCCAGAGCAATCTGCTGAAGATTTAGCGCCTCGGATGCCTCTGCCTCACAGGAAGGTTCTGTGTGGGGCTCCCTGAGCTGCAGAGTTTGTGAGGCTCTTCTTCAGGTTGTTTTTCCAGAGGAGCCAAAAGGAAACCGCGAGATTCTGGCGGTTTTTCAAGGTTATTGGCACCATATTATGTAGAGTCTAAGATGCCGCAATGCTGAGCGGGTGCCCTTGAGCGGCTGTGTGTGTGTGTGTGTGTATCATGTGGCAAGCGTGCGTGTGCTGGGCAGGTCTCCATGGCAACAAGAAGGCAGACTCATTGGGATCAGAACGTGTATGTTCTTCCGAACGTGTGACAGTGAGATCCCAAGTGTGGAAAGAGACAATGACATTGCGTCAATTGGGTGTGACATGCTGCACCTTTTACTAGGGCTGCCCTTAAGTCAGTGATGAAAACTGGCCTGCGTATGTTGGTCCATATGTTCCAAGCCACGGTTGGATGGCATCACCAAGCATCTTTGTCCCGAGGGAGTGCTAGCACCTCCTTGCGCCCGCAACCAAGCATCCCCAAGCCCCAATCAGCACACAAGCCGGTGAGATGCAACAGCACATTGACCAGAAGAAGACAAGATAAAGATGATGCAAGGTTGAACATTGAGATTGATGCGTTCAGTGAGGGCACTCGGCACGATACTTTGGGAGTGCAGAACACATGGAATTTGGAAGAAAGGAAGAAGACAATGAAGGCTTTGATGCAATTGGCAGAGTTCTCGAGCCTTGCGGAGGTGTTTACTTGAAGGCTCCCTTGGTGAAACTGAACGGCCTTCTGACAAGCGCAAGCATCAAGTTCATCAAGTACCCCTAAGAATTGTGTGTGTGTGTGTGTGTGTTTTGGGTTTGTCCGTTTGGCCTACCTTGCAACATCTCTAACAATGTGTTTTTCTTCTGTTGGCTTCCTGGAAACAAACATATATGCCTTGCTTCTTTTTTCGTGCATCTTGGAGCACCCAAAGTTAAAGACGTAATATGTATATTGCTAGACAGAGAGAATAATTACATATATATATATATATACAACAATATATGTCTTTAGAGAGAGAGAGAGAGAGAGAGAGAGAGATTCGGAGACTTAGGTGCTGCTTCTGCGGGCGGTGGTGCCCTCTCTTCCAGCGGCGTCGGCACAGAAGTTTGTGCATGCCATGACGGAGAAGGACGGAGATTTCGAGCCTCATCCCGACCATGGGCGAAAAAAGCCTGTTCTGAGGCTGCCCTTTTCTGGATGTTACTTTAATGGCAGCTAAACGGAAGCCCTTTGTGGGGGTTTTCCCTTTGCTAAACTTTACTCTAGAAAGGAAACGCACAGGGAATCCAGCCATTGTGGGTTTCCATAAAGACAAACTGGCCTGTTTCCCGAAGCTCCCTATGGAAAGCTCCGGGATTTCCAGTGCTCTCCTACTGTGGCTTGGTTTGCTGTGAGAGGTGTGTCCTGGCGGTTGGAAAGACTCGGTAAAGGAAGCGGCGCGTAGAATTGACAATGAATTCCAAAGGTTGGAACACCTTCACAATTGTGCAGAGATCAGCTATGTCACCAAGGGTTCCAAGTGTGGGGTATGTTTGATTTTCCCATGTGTTTCCCTCGAAACACCGTCCAAATAGGGTCCTCCAATTTGGAACCTTCCAATTATGCCTCGCTTGTTGCGTAAAGGGCTCCAAGGCAACGTGGTGGCAGCCATTTCAAGAACGGGAGAAAGCTGACATGAGGTTGTCCCCAAAAAATCCGGACCTTCCCCTGTGAACGCCATCCAAAAGCAGGTCCGAAAAATGGACGGCTTTCTTTCAGAGAGACCATCCAAAAGGGGGTCCCTGCAATTTTTGGAGACGTCCGCTTGATGTGGATTAACTGCAGAAGGGGGGGGTGTTTATCCGCCATAGAGGTCAGACAAGGGCTTTCCCAAATTTGGCAGAGGAGGAAAACTGAGACCGTTGCATTTGCATGGGCAAATTGTAGCAACCTCACCCACAATAAGTAGTCCGTTCACGAGGAACGCTGACGTTAGTTTGGTGAACTGTTATAACTCACGTAGATGTTCGCCTTTGCGGAGGCCATTGTTCTGACTTTTTGCGGGGGGTCAACACAGAGCAACCAAGAACTGGATCATTTGAAGGTATGAGACTGAAGGACAAGGTGGTTTGCCTTTGAACCACCTCAAACCTGCCCTCCAAAGTCACGCCCTGTTCGTAGGCGGACGACGCCGCGAACGCCTCGAGCGGCATCTCGGTGCCGCTGCGGGTGTTGCTGCGGGTCGCCAAAGCCGCTGCCGCCGCGGACGGGGACGCCGAGGCGGGACCAGGAGATGGGCGGAGGCGGTTGGCCGAAACGTCTCGTTGCCAGGTGTGAGAAGGGGAAATCCCTGGGCCCCTGCGGAAAATGCAGTTGTATATGGATGGGGAGTGGCTATACGCGCCGGGAATCCGGCACTGCGACAATCTGCGCAGTGTGTGAAGAGCTCGTGGCTTTCCCTCGTGACCCCCCCAACCTCTATGCTGGCCCTCACAAGATTTGGCATGTTTTCAGTCCAATTGTTTGGGGAATCTTTGGGGGCTTGTAGCGCCAGAACCCTGCTTTGGAAGTTCCGGCTGCTTTTGCCTATCTTCTGCGTGTCACTAGTTGGTCCGTGAATAAAGGCATTGAGTACCGGTAACAGAGCACCGATTCGTGAACCAGGCGACGGCATGGTAGGCTACAGGGCGTAAATGTGGTTTCTCCTTTGACACCATTGCTTCACGGGAAGCCTACTTGTGAACCGGGGCAGTCAACTTCACGAACTTCTGGACTTCAGAAGTTCGTGAACCCCAGACTCCCAAAATAGACGTCAACCGGGTCGTGGGGTCTGCTTCTGTTCGGGGGCATCCTGAAACAGGGGGTCACCTCTTCATAGTTTCGGGTGATCCTGTCCCATCACAGGGAGAGTCTTTCGGGATGGGTTTACAAAGCGCAAAGGAAACCAAACGTGCGGTTAACCCCCCCCCCCGTCCCCAATTTTGAGAGAAACTCACCATGCCCAAACTCGTCTCCAGGTGGAGCTGGTGCACGGCTTGCTGCAGCAACAGCTCTTCCCCTTCATGCCCAAAGGCGTGGGAGCTGCAAAGAGAGCGAGCGAGCGAGACATGAGGCGGTCCGAATTCGGCAAGTGGCAAATAAGCCATGGCTAATTGGATGATATATAGCCGTTGCCCGTTTGTGTTGCAAGTTGGTTACCTGCCATGTGGGTTCTCAAAATCTAAGGGGCCAACCAGGTTTCGTGTTGGTTTCCCAATTAAAAACCATCCAAAACGAGTCTCCTCCTTGCAAACCGCTAGAATCAGTGAGCAGAAAAAACAGAAGAAAAACAAGAAAAACAAGAAAAACAAAAACACGTAAAAAAAGGGGGGCATTTTTCCCATTGAACATTGCATGCTACGATTCCCGTGGAAGTTGTTTCAGGTGGCGTTGGAACCGACCAGGCGAGCGCGGGAAGCTGCTGGCGCAGCTGGAGCCCCACTTCGGCGCAGCCGTGGCCGTGGCGGCGGAGCGCGCGCTGCAGCGGGCCAAAAGGCGCGCCGGGATTTCCGTGCAGAGATCAATTTCCTAACTGGGGGGGGTGCCCAACCAAAGAAGTACTGCATGTCCGTCCCTTTAACATGGGGCCAGGTACAATGTTTGGGGCACTTACTTGAGACAAGAGCGCACATGAAAGACACCTGCTCAGTAGAGAACTCCTGCTCCTTTCTCCGTGGCACCACAGCAACTAGTGAACAAATGTCTTCACCTTCAGCTTCAGCAACTACAGCACTGTGGAACTATTGACATGGTGGAGCATGGGCCAAATGTGAAATCTCGCATTGTATGAATGCTGGAGCAGCTAAGACAATGAGCACGGCGAACAAGTCTGAGAGCTACTCTGGCAGAACCTCTGACAGTTGAACGCTTTGCGGACTTCACATGGTGAAATCGTCCAACCCACATGTGTGAGAGTTTAGAGAAATGGTAATTACCCTGGTTACTACTTGAAGGGAAACCAAAAGGAAGCGGTTGCCGTTTGGACCCCGATTTTGACAAATGTCCAAATACAGCTACACTCCGTCAGGACCCCCTTTGGCAGAGTAGCGTTTCGGAATGTCTCCCAACCAGCTCATATGATCGAGGGTGCTTCACTCAGTTCCTGGGCATGGGTTTGCCAAGGCCGTTTTGGTGGCAAGCAGAAAGTTCCGACTTTCAGCAAGTTATTTTTGTGGTTTATCCACGCAGGAAGCTGGGTGTGTGCCAAAGTGGGAATTCCTAGAACGGCTGCTTTCCCTTTCGGCATCCCTTCAAATCCCAAAACGGGTGCCCCCTTGTAGGGCATTATGTCCTTAAAGGGAAACCTTTTGTGGGGTTGTTTTGGAGCCCCACCCCCGAGTGAGCTTCGTTTCTCAGGCCAGCGAGGGAATTGCAAGGCTGGGCGCAGCGCAGAGAGTCTTCATTGGTGTTGGGTCCATGTGGATGCGACTTACAATCGGGGTGCCCAAAAAGTGTTTAGTCTCTTTTTGAAATCCTTGAAACCATCCAACAAAAGTACAACAAGACGCACCAATTGGGTAAGGTTTAACCCAAGGTAGACTTAAGCGCATGCTGTTTTTTTTGGGAAACCCGTTTTTTGGGATTACGTTCCCATGGCTTGGAGCAGAGACGCCAGGGGCAAAGTCAAAGTGCATGTCAGTGAGACCTGCCATTTGGCTGGGTGAATTTATAGCGAGGTCGCCCGACCTCTCCGTGAACGCGACCTGACAATCCTGAAATAAGGGTGTGGGAAAATTATGTTTGTGTCATGCCTGCATAAATACGCAGCATTTAGGGGGCTGGACCCCCTTCCCCAGCCATGTTTTCTCCGTCAAGACGCGTTTTGGAATTCAAATTGAGCGCTGCGTCACCCAGAATTCCACTTCCGGGGGGTGCAACCTCTTACATACGGAGGCTATTTAAGGAGTGGCCGCTTGAAGCCCTGGGCCGTGTTGAGGCGCGGAAGTGCCAAGACTTAGGTTATTTCAGATCGACCCTGCAATAAAGAATTGGACCTAACAACCTAGAAAATAATAATTCACCTTGATTTATGTTTTGGGCGGGGGTTGACAATGGTAAGAATATGGGGGCAGTGCAAAGCGAAGTGAACAAGTAAATCTAGCAGAGTTTTGGGATCGCCTCCTTTCGGCAAGGAACAGCTCGACATAATTGACGGCATTTGCCAAAGAAGGCGCGCAAGGATCGCTTGCACCTCTCTGGCTGTTCCAAAAGCTGGAATCATATGGGCCCGTTGTAGAACGCATGACCATTTTTTTTGTAGAGCATGTCCATGAAGGCTCTAGCGTGAAAGGAACAGCTTGCAGGCCGCGAGAGGCTGGCACCACAAGGAATCAGCAACAAATGCTGCAGAAGGAAATGTTTGCCCCCACAGGCATTTTGCTAGATTTCAGGGAGTATTTCTGGCCAACTCCCATACCTCCCTTCCAGTTCGTTCCCTTGATCCGGCTCCAGCTGCAACCCAATCAACCCAAAAAGTTCCACTGGGGGTTAAGTTTCATCCCCGATCTTCGGGAGGTGCATCCAGGTACTGACTAGCAAAAGCGCGGGGTGGAAGTGCAATCCGGAGCATTATACATATATATATATATGTCTTACTTTATGCATATACTCTTTATGCATATACGACCCAGTGACCTAGTTGACCCACCAGCCCAAACAAGGCGAACGCATCAAGCAAACAGGAGCAGCAGGCGAGCGGATGGAAGAAAGTTATAGTTTTAGGCTACAACTTGAACCACTAAGTTTAATGGATGTGACCAATTCAAAGCTCTTGTAAACATAGAATCACGTCGAAACCGATGATGAAATTGATCTCCTCCACTGGAACATCCCTCAGCTAAACCACATACAGGAAAACTCTTTCTCGCGAGGAGATGCACTTTCACCCATCTTTTAGTGGATGTGACATTGTTGCCCGTATTTTTCCACACGGTCGGAAGTAAGACTACATATATAGATAGATCAAGTCAAATAAATCACTGAAATAAATAAATCAAATCATTGACATGCATGCGCCGGTGTCTGAGGGACCGGCCCTTGCTTCAAGTCCTCCCGACTCAGCGACTCAGCTCGCTCGCAGGCGAGCCCGAAGGACCCGACTCGGTGCGCTTCGGGTCCTTCATAGCGCCGAAGATGACGCCCGCGAGCCCCGAGCTGGCGCCTGGGGCGGGGTCTCCAATCTGCTTTTAGAGTCGGTGGTTGGTGGACAAGCCACGTCCAAGGGTGTGGGTGTGGGTGTGGGTGTGGGTGTGGGTGTGGGTGTGGGCCAATGTTGTCAAAGCTTTCTGGCTCGGATTGCCCTTGCCAGGGGTGGAGGTCAATTGCCCTTAAGCCTCACAATGGTATCAACAACGTCCCCAGCGCCGGTTGCACGCCGTTCCCCCCCCACGGAATTCCCACCCAGAGTGCATGTACAGGGCGTTTGACAGAAATAACATAACATTTCTGTTCGGATCCAGTTTGCGCGTGTCTGTGTGTGTGTGTGTGTCTGCGCGGTACAAACAGCTCGTTTGGCTCTTTATCCAACATGTTGTTGCTGGAGACGTCAAAAAGACAACAGCTGGTTAGATCTGTTTCCCTTAAGGCAAGTTGAGTGTGAAGACGTGTGGGTTTTTGCCGTAAAATTGTGAGCCTTGTTTTAGATCGTGTTTGAAGGGAAGCCTAAAAAAGCCAACCAACCGGCCGACCAGCCAACTTTAAGGGGTCCCTATCTTCGGCCACACTCACTTGAATTCGTTAAGTCTTTGGCACGCTCACCAAAGCTGCGCATAAATGAACTCATGGACGCCTTACGGCTTGGACTCCTTTGGCGGTTTGTCCTATAGCCAACCCAATTTGGAGCAAAGTGGTTCGTTCCAATAGCCAAACCTCGGGATTGAGCGCTCCCAAACCTTGGCAGTCCAGGTGCCCTCGGTGGATTTCGTGGGCATCGATCGGCATGTGGACTTGCTGCAGGAGCTGGGCAAGGCAGGCGGATTCCAACCAGGTCCTCAAATGGCCTTCGCAGAGTCTCAGCCCACCTGTTGTCTGGAAGGACCAGCCAAAATGGGCGCTCCCCCTTATCAACCGCCAGAACCACCCAGAAAAGCAATTAAATGCTCCGCTGAAAGCAGGTGTGCTGCTCGGGGTTCGAGCGGCTCATCGAAACACTTTACAGTTCCACACTTTCCGGGCTCGTTTTTTGGATTTGACGAATGCTTGCCCATCCGGATGTTGTTTGCGGGCGTTTGGGACGTAATTCAATCAATCAGACCCTTGTGCATCTCCGAGTGAAACCAAAAGGTGGTTGCTTACACGATCGAGCTTAAACATCTTCCAACAGGGTGTGGTGAGCGGGCCGATGCGCCAAGGTAAAGATTGCACATGTCCACCTGACCAACTCAAGGAAAGGTCCACGGCCACTGCGGCCGTGCAACAAAAGTTATATGAGCCTCTGTGTGTGTGTGTGTGTGTGGGTGTGTGTGTGTGTGTGTGGTGTGTGTGTGTGTGTGTGTGTGTGTGTGTGTGTGTGTGTGTGTGTGTGTGTGTGTGTGTGTGTGTGTGTGTGTGTGTGTGTGTGTGTGTGTGTGTGTGTGTGTGTGTGTGTGTGTGTGTGTGTGTGTGTGTGTGTGTGTGTGTGTGTGTGTGTGTGTGTGTGTGTGTGTGTGTGTGTGTGTGTGTGTGTGTGTGTGTGTGTGTGTGTGTGTGTGTGTGTGTGTGTGTGTGTGTGTGTGTGTGTGTGTGTGTGTGTGTGTGTGTGTGTGTGTGTGTGTGTGTGTGTGTGTGTGTGTGTGTGTGTGTGTGTGTGTGTGTGTGTGTGTGTGTGTGTGTGTGTGTGTGTGTGTGTGTGTGTGTGTGTGTGTGTGTGTGTGTGTGTGTGTGTGTGTGTGTGTGTGTGTGTGTGTGTGTGTGTGTGTGTGTGTGTGTGTGTGTGTGTGTGTGTGTGTGTGTGTGTGTGTGTGTGTGTGTGTGTGTGTGTGTGTGTGTGTGTGTGTGTGTGTGTGTGTGTGTGTGTGTGTGTGTGTGTGTGTGTGTGTGTTTTCTATCAAAGCCCTTTTGGTCAACAAATATATATACGTATATACATATATATATATAGATATATAGCAAAAGGAACTCCGATGCCTTTTTGTTTTGGGGGGGCGGGGTCCAAAGAAAGTGGACTCACATATGAGCCTTCAGGACACTTCCCATGGCTTCAAAGGCTCGCTTTGCCGCCAGGCCATCTTCCGGCGACAGGACGCACGCAAATGTGACCAAATCCGAATCGGGGGTAAAACGAGCGATTCATGTGAGTGCTTAGGGATGCTTTGTTTCAGACTTTGCGATTGTGCAATTTCAGGTTGATGGGTTCCTTTGGGTTTCCCTTGAAACAACCCTCCCAAAAATTACCCTCAAAAGCAAACAAACACGCACGTGGTTGAATTTGGATGCGTTCAGCTTAAAGAGCGTCCGGATCACTTGAGGGACACAGCCCCGGTTGTTACCGATTCACACAAAGGGTGAACGTCAACTATGGCATGATTCCTCTCCAGGAAATCACACGGGGATCAATGAATCGTCCTTTTTCAGGCCCCTTATTCAACTGTGAGTTTGCTCGCTTCAAAGTTTCAGTGAACTGGCCCAAAGCCGAGTTTTCCCGATCCATAGTTAAGATTCCAAAAGGAGAGTTGCGCACATTGGTTGGTCCGCCATTGTTTGAAAGTGTATTTCTGGCACGAGGGAAACACCCAAAGATTGCAGAAGTGGTTTGCAGATCGCTACAACACCAAAATAAGCTGCTTTCTTCGCGAAACATCTCTGTCAGTTTGTAAGCTTGTATGTGGAAAGGCGGACTTCCGCAGTAAACCTTTGAAAAGCTGTGTCGAAAAATAGGGCGTGTTTGCAGTGAGAGCTTGGGTCTCCTCTTATGGGCTGTAGGGTATCTCCCTGTGAGAAGAGCGCGGTTGAGATTCTGAGTTTGTTGCCAAATTCTAACGGCCTCGTTTGGGGCCTAGGCGTTGGAGTCCCGAAATCCACTTCATTACTCCGTCCAGAGACTTCCCAGAACACGGGTTTGTTGGTCGACCAGAAGCCCAACACCTATTCCTAGAAGTGCAAGCGGTTAATCCAGCTAAGGGGAACCTGGGCATACTGCAAAGGGAGCCAGCAAAGCTACACTCAGCTTCCTAAATACTTGGAGACTGTAAGCACTGCTATTGCACTGTTGCACTGTTTGCCCAGGACTGGAGAGTCAAAGGACCATTGTGTCGGCTCTGTCCAACATGTTGTGAAGTTCCGAAGTTTCTCGCAAGTCAGCAGGCACCAGACATGCTTGGTTGGTGGTGCAGAACCGCAACACATTGGCATTGCAAAACCATGATTCCTTCGCATGGTGAAATCCAGCACACCCCTGTTCTTCCTGTCAAATTTATGTGTTTCTCTCTATATCCGAATCCAATCAGACAAGGAACCTTGTGCTTACTTGGCAAGCGGACCCAGACTCAGGTGCTTTCTGGGGAACAAACAAGAGAGACAGCAAGCTGGCACTAGTAAATGAAGAGAACCAAACTGAAAACAATGCCAACCAATGCCACCAATGCCAACCAGTGCCTCATGTTCAACCAGAACTAAAGCAGGACGTCTATGGACTGATGCTGCTTTGAGGAGCGCTTTCTTCTACTTCTGGGGCCGCAAGGTGTGGGGAGTCTCAGATGCATTGGCGCGGGAATGGCTGGGTTCCCTATGTGTGCAGAGTGTGGTTTTAAATCTCACAGACGATCTTCAACAAATACCTGTCTTGTGAAGGAAATTTGGAGAGCCCTGATTAAGGGGACGGTGGAACGATCCTTATCTCATGGTCAAAGCACTCTTTGACTTGGAGCACATAGAGCTCTTTTTGCAGCGGCTGTGACCCGGAGTGACGGCACAGCGAAAAATGACCCGATTGCCCCTTGTGGTGACTAGAGGGCTGCGAGACACAGAATGCTCCCCTGGCTGCTAAATAGCCCGCATGTTGTTGCGGCTGTTCTCAAAAAGAGATCCAAAATAGGATGGAGGTCCTTCTTTTTCCAGAGGCCCTGCGTAGCACCCCACGTGGCGGGAACTTGCGTTTGAGCAGCTTTCGGTGAGGTTACCAAATGGCGCCTTGATTATGTGTCCGGTGTTATATGTTTCCCTTTGTATGTCCTTTAATCTGGGCGCGTCTTTTTTGAGGGCACCCCTTTTGGGTTGGTTTTGAAGGGAAACTGAAGGAGACAGGGGATCCCCTGTTTTAAGACACCATATTATATACAACAAAAGCCCTGTAGGAAGAACCGGGTGGTGGATTACTTCCTGCAATCCCTCCGCATGGAGCGGGAGTACATGCAGCTGCACCGCGACACCACGGTCTCGCAGTTGACGGTGTGGGACTCAGGTGTTGAGGAGTTCTTGAAATTAAGTTGCTTATTTCTTTCTTTATTTATGTTTGTCTCTTGTGTTTCTGACAATTACTTGTGTCCGTCTTGTTTGCCTTCTTTTTTTTGTTTTTTGGTGGGGGGCCAAACTGTTTCTTTTTTGGGGCGGGGGGGGAGACAGAATGACTGTTGGGGGGTCCTTTCTTTTTTTCTGTTTCTTTTTTTTTTTGGGGGGGGGGAGGCGGGGGGGTGGGGGCCTTCGCTCAGAATGACTGATGAGGGTGATTTGCTTTTGACCAACGCTTGGAGGGTATTCTTGAGGATGTCACTCTAATGGACCAAACCAGAGTGGGGACTTGGCAGCTAGTTGGCTTCGAAGGCTTCGACTTTCGAACGATTGCAATATCCTTTCCAAAAATGGTGGACCTCAATTCCCCATGTAAATGATGCCCACCAAAGGATTGCCAATCAAAAGTATCCTCTTTTTGGTCCAAACCCATTCGCTCTGCCCAATTTGGTGAGCGAACAGCCGATGAGATAAAGCGAGCGATTTGGGCTTGACCCTTCAACCCTTCGCAAAGTTGGTGCCCATTGGATACTCCTGCCAGTGAAGAATGTGAAGGTCGCTGGACACAGAATTCGTTTCACTTGTGCAACCGTGGACATGGTGTTGTGAATGTCGCCACAAAGTTTGTGCCTAACGCCTGCTTAGGCGCTGAGTATAGAGGAATTGTCCAGCACCAAATTTACACCATGAAAGCAGTCACAGCAAAGGGTGCTCCACGTAGCGGGGAAAAATTCAGAAGGGGGCCGCCCCGGGGCCGGCGTTAGTGAAAGCGAAAAAAGCTCGAGAAAACCACCAAAAAGCATCGAACAATATTGAAATCGTTTGAAAGGCGGCACAGAATTTCACCCTCGTAAGGCACTACAAACAGCGCATCCACCAAGCAGCTCCGCAATGTGGATGTTAGGAACTTGTGACATGTATGAAGTTTGCAACTGACAGCTGCATCTTAGCATCGCAGTTGGAATCTGTCCTTACTTCCCGGAAACTCTCAGACTCCGACTCGTTTGAAGAGTCTCCGGGCGAGTGGAGGGTTTCCCAATGAGTCACTGAGGTGACGCCAGTGGTTTCGAATGGCCGTCTACATCACGAGGAGATCCAGGGCGAACAACGGAATGTCAGATTTCCAAACTAGGAACATGACTCTGTTTTAAGCTGGCCAAACTGGCGGAATGTTTTTGGAAGGAACAGCAAGAATGCAAGCCGCAATAAGGCCCTCCTCATTTTTCGGATTGCAAGGTTCCGATTGTCCATTTGCAGATGTTCCACGACCACCTTCCCCACAATAGGCTATGACTTATAGGGGAAAGGCTCCAAAATGGATAGGCAGAAATCCTCATGTCCATGCTGGATATTTATAAGCCCCTCCAACGAAAACTCATATTCCCAACAATATAAGTGTACATGGGAGTCGATCAATCGGTCCTTCCAAAAACTTAAATTGTGGAGGACCGTAGGTAGGACTGGTGTCTGTGCCTGCAAAAGATGTGCGAAGTCTGCCAAAGATGTTTTCACACAAAAAAAAAAACAGGGAGATGCGCAGCACCTCTATTTGCGTCCCATGGATTCCCTGCCGCTGGGATTGGCGCAAAGCAAAATCCTTGGCTGGGCGATTTTGGATTGCAAGGTGCGCGAAAGCCCGGCGCAATCACATGGAGCTTGCTTCAAAGCTCGCATTGCATCCAGGACGGAGCAGTCGCGGCAAGTACAAGCGGAAAGGGCAAATGATAGCGCCAGCGCATGTGAACGGCGTGGCTACTGTGCTTGCAAGCATAAGTGCAGCAGCGACAATGGCTTCACGGAGCACGCGACAAGCAGAAGCTTGTCTCGCAAAGAATGGCGTTTGGCGGAAGCAGGAGTTTTGATCAGCCGCCGCATCCAATTGTATATATTATATGGCTGTGGGTCAAAAATAGGTACCAACATGGAACCCTGGCAAATGGAAACATGAACTAAAAATCTGCGGTCCCCTGCTGGTTTAATTTTGAGCCATACCCATAATATAAATATATATATATACATATACATATGCATATGTTTTGAGTCAATCGTACGTTAGTGGTTCTGTGGGCGCACATGACGCTACACGCCGTGCCAGCACAGGTGAAGCATTCAACACACTCTTTGATTTGTGACTTCCTTCCAAAGCTGAAAGCTTGCTCGCGTCCACGAGGGGGTCTGTGGAGCTCAGACGACGCAAGGGATGGCAGTGAATTTACATTGGTAACATCTCCTGGTACCCCACGTCCGCATGGCCAAGCGTCCTCATCCCCGCCACATTCCGAAGGAGGGAAGGAGAAGTCTGAGTTTTCCCAAAAGAGTCCATAATATGTCATGCTATGTGGCTTTCATCCACGCCAATGGTATCATACCAAACACATATCACTTGGTGTTAATCTCCTATCTTACAAACCGTTGGGGAAGGATTGCCAAAGGCCGATGTTCCCAAAGCGGGAATGCCCTTTGAGGGAAGGGAGAAAGACCCCATCTTGGCATATCCAGCTTTGAGAACCCAACTCCATGGCTGCCACTACCCCCAGACCACCAAGGCCATAGGGGAAACGAGGAATACATAAATATATATATATATATATTATACCCTTCATATGGTGACTGGTTGTGTATCCCATTAAACCACTGGGGCGGCGGAAGCCGTCTTAGATATCGCACCTGAAATGACAATACGGGTCAGACCGCACTTAGACCAAGCGGAAAACCGGGAAAGACAAAAATCCTACAAGGTGGTTTTTCTCGCAATGTACCCATTGAAGCCCCCGGTAGCTTCGGTGGAAACCGAAGCGGCAAAACGAGCGCGAGGACAGCCCCTTGGTTCGTGCAGCCCAGCTTGGCCGAGCCCTGGTTCTGGATGAGGCAGACAAGGCGCCCTTGGAGGCACGCCAAGGGGGCGAAGAAGGGTTGACGGGTCTGACCAAAAACTGCATGAGTTTGGAGTAATTCTGAAAAGGGGGGTTTGAAATAGGTTGAAAACCCTCTTTGAACAACCTCCGTTGCTTTTTGGAACCCTGTTTGGGGGGACGGAAACGGGGGGCGGGGGTCACCATGGAATTCTATTGTGGCATCCATGCTTCCCCTTTGCGCGGAAGACTACATAAATGAAGGGGACCCCAACATACCCCAACCCCGTCAGAAGCAGTCCAAAAGATCCTTCCCTTGGACTACGAAAATTTTATTCCTGAAGGGCCCAGCCTGGTTTGCGACATGTTTAGCAACCTCCGCCTACTGGGCAACGAACGCATGACGAGGCTGGATTGTCGAAATGCGAATTTTGACTACGAGTTCAAGGATTGGCACGAGTCTGGATTCCTGGGAATCCATGTGTGTTTTCCTTTGCCAATGTTTTTGACAGGGGCCGCAGGTTTTTGAAATGTTTGTAGACCCATGTCAGTCCCCATGTTTGGATCCGTGGGGATCACTTGTGGATGGGATGGGATGGGATGGGATTGGGATGGGTGGAAATGATTGGCACAACCTACCACGAGAATTCAGCGACCTTCACGTAGCAGCTCAGGGAATTCCAGTTGTGAGCAGGGCAATCTAGGGGGGGCAGGTGACCTCATCCAAGATTTCTTTGGGTTTGATTCCTATTTGGGTATGTGTTGCAATAGGGAAACCTCCCACATAGTAGATTTCATGTTGATTCCCTTTACACAAGTTTGAAATATTCCGATTCACACAGAGTCGCCAGGTAGTGGTGGTTCTCAAGTCCCTCATCGAGGATGGGCAGTTGGCGCTGCCCGATGGACGAAGGCGAGAGCTGTTGCACTACGCCTTCGCGGTCGAAAAATTGGACAGGTCCAAGGGAAAGACCAATATGAAGCCAATAGGTAAGTGGAGAGGCCCTACTTACTTTAAGACAACTCGGGATCCCGACAGAGGGATGGTCAGGGTTCCTGTTCATCGAGCGGCTGGGATTTTCGCGCTTAGAACATAATTATGTCAGCATGTCCGTGCCCGCGCGGCAGGAATGAGAATGGCTGTCAAGACTGGAATAAGGATGTTTGACACCACAGAATGGGCCAAAGCAGTTCTGGTTGGTTGCTCATCAATTCCATGTCTCCTATTGTTGATTGGTGCTACTTGCTTTGGGCGCCATTGGCACATCCTTTGTAGGTGGCCCTGTAAGAAACCTGACCATGTTGGCTTCAGCAAGTGATCCGTAAATGGGCCCCATGGTAGACATGAGCCACCTGCGGTTTGGGGACCTCTGGGTTTGCTTGCTCTCGGCCACCCCTTGGCGGGTGGCCCCTGGGTGTTGCGCCCTTGGGGAATCCACAGGCTGGCCAGCAGTGATGTCGGGGACCACTCCCTGCGAGTGCACCCAGAGTTTCGGATGCCCGGCTCTCGGTGCTGAGCGACTTTGCTCGTTCCGAGCGAGGTGACACCCTTGAAATTGCAGTGGAGAGGGACCATCAGCGGCTCAGGGGATTGTACACGGGCATCAGCTGGCTGGGTTTAAGGGACGAGCAAACGAGCAGGGCATAACTTATCATGCCAACATGGCCCGGTCTTTGGAGGCGGAGCAGGGGATGACCCTTTACCCACTTACCTGAATGTAGTTGGTAGACGGTTGCCTTGTGCATAGCCTTTCAGAATAGAAATCCACAGCTCCGTGGCATATCTTCGAACCCCTGCGGTTGGAATTCTCCCTTTTGTGGGGGTCGGCGCCCCAGAAGTCTGAAATCCACCCCACACACCCAACGCGCGAAACCTGTTTGGTGTTTTCCCGTGTTTTTGTTGGCTTATCTTTCCTCCCGTTCCTTTTTCTTGGCCATCTCTGTTTGACTATGGGGCTTTGTGCCTTGGAGTTTGAGTATGTAATGTATAAGATAAATACATGTGTGCATATATATATATGTATATTAATTTATGTCTATTTATATCTATACTATGTATATACATATCCTCGGCAACCCATCCGCCGCGATTTTCTTCGAGGTTCGTCCTGGCGAACCGCCCCGGCTTCCCCTTCTTGGGCAACGACCTGCTCCGGGAGGCGGACGTCTTCTCGGTCTTCTGCCTGGACAACCCGGCACCTCGGCTGAGCTTGGGGCTCGGGGCTGCATGAATGAAGCTGTTGGCTTTTGTTGACCCCATGTAAATCAACTCCAGTTGATTAATAGGGGGGTGTCTTTGGGTTGGGGAATCAGACCACTGTTGTGGGGGAACACACTCGTATGAATAATTACTTATGTTGATAAATATGGGGTCAACATGACCAATGTAGCCTCGCGCAATAGCAGTTGGAGGGTACCGGCAAGATCAAGTTCCTGAAGGGACGGCCTGACTTTGCCATCTTAGAGAGATGGCAAAGTGAGCTTCCTGGTGGCGTCATGTTTAAAAGGAGGCAGAAGCAACCCTGCTCTGCTGGCGCAGATCGGATGATAGACCAGCGGGCCGTGCTCCCCAAAAAAGCAATAAACAGGAAATCAACCGTATCTCCCAGTTGGGGCGGTCATGTCATTGGCAAAGCTGGCAAAAGCCCCTTGAGGGCGAGAGGGAGAGAGGCAGGCAGAGAGAGAGAGAGAGACAGACAGTGACAGAGACAGAACGGCTGCGAGAGACCCAGAGAGGGAGGGGGAGGGAGGGAGGGAGGAGAGAGAGAGAGAGAGTCAGAGAGTCAGAGAGTCAGAGAGTCAGAGAGTCAGAGAGACAGAGAGAGACAGAGAGAGACAGAGAGAGGGAAAGAGCGCGAGAGGAGACAGAGACAGAGAGAGAGAGGGAGGCGTTCTCCCGGTTTGCTGTAAACCTGCCAAGCCCCACGCGGGGCATGTGCAAGATAAGTTTGAATGAACAGCGACCAGCGACGAGGGTGTTTTTTCCTAGGGATCCCTCATGTCAGGTCGCAGAAGTGTCGAAGCATATATATATATATACATACATATACACACAATTTACACATCAGCAAAGTCCGGCAGAGCCGAGGTGCGGAAGTTTCAAAGCAAGGGGATAACTACAGTTTGCTTCTTCTTTTCTCTCTCTCTCTCGATCCCTCTCTCTCTCTCTCGATCCCTCTCTCTCTCTCTCTCGCTCTCTCACCCAAGCTCTCGAGGGGCAGCGAGTTTTTTCCTTTTTTCTGGCAGTCGTGCGGCTATCCGCGTTGATGCGGCCCAACACGTAACGCGCCAACAGGAAGGCGCCGCCTGAAACGGCACGGCGGCTTTCTTACTGAAGTAGTTTGCGCAAGGGCCTGACTCATTCCCCAGCTCTCGCGTTTCCATGCGAATTGTTGCGCCTGCCACAAAATATGTACGGGTTGCCTGACCTCGCGAAAGTGGTGCGCCTGCCACGCAACTAAAGTCACGATAAGATTCCAGCTCCGAGCCCGCTTCCGTCAGGCATCGCGACCGTGGTACTTTCTGCACACATGCGGAAGCATCGAATTCCGCTTTCCAGCTCTTTCCTTGGGTTTTCACACGCGTGGCATCGTCCATCCATCTATCTATCTACCGATCAATCTGTTCCTTTATGTCTCTATCTATCTACGCATCTACTATCTCTCTCGCTCTCTCTAGCAATCTACCTACCTGTCTAAATCTAACTATCTACCCACCTGTATGATCATCTATGTATTATCTAGCTCTCTATTTGTCGATCTTAACTTAGAGAGAGAGAGATAGCTCATTTAGTTCCAGCGCTACACAAGTTCTTGTTAAACATCCTTGCTGTATCAACGTACCTCTTTGTACACACTGTGGATGGGCAAAATCCTGCTCCTAAGAAACCATGGGGAAGGCCATTGTTGGTATTTACAGGCGAGGCATCCTAGGGTTCCTTAGGTGGTGCGGAAGAAGAAAAAACGGCGGTCTCCCGCTTTTTTTTTTTGGTCCGAGGACGCCGCCTCGGAGATGCAGCTGGCTCGCGCCATCGGCGCGGATGCCCGGAGAAACCATCTCCAAATTTGGGCGGGGTCCCTTCCTGTCTATATTTTACATTTTACCGGTGACTCAGAGTGAAGCAACCAATAAAATATACATTCTATAACTGGGCCTAACTCTAATCATGCCTTGAATTTCCCTGTTCACCCAAGCCCGAATGGGTGCCCAATACGAAGGACACCCTTCTGTTGTTTTCTTGGGCTTCCTTTCAACGAGGCTCATTACCAGCTGTCAGAATCATCGTTGGGTGGGGGGGATCCCGTTTACTGGGCCAAGTCCATCCATTGTTCCCATGTCCATTGGGCAAGAAAGAAGGCCGGCGGGTACTTCATCGGCACATGAGGCAACTACGTTACGTATTGGTGCGGATTGCCCCACAAATCCCAAGAACTTCAGCCTGCGGTTCGCCCCGTTGACACGCAGAGTCACCTTGGGCATTGAGCAGCGATTCGGCGGTATGGAGCAAGGTGGAAACTCTTGGATATTTTACTACAGTTTCATCTTAGAACCTTGGGTTTTGTGGTTGGATACTAAAAACGGTAACCCACCCAACACCCCACCCACCCACCCACCCAACACACCACACACCTCGGACTGAGGCCCCTCGGTGCCTTTAGCGCTGCTGAAGACGCTGGTGGCCCTCTTCGCGGATTTGCGCCTGGCGCTCGAGGACGGCCGGCTCCAGCGGCCCGGAGAAAGAAAAATTCCAACGAGTTGGGTTGCACGTCCATGTGTGTGTGTGTGTGTGTGATTTTGGAAGGCGCCGCCTTTTGGTTGGTATTCACTTGACTGCTCTTGGGTGGGATCTGTAGACTTTAACTTTTTGGTTGAAATCAAGTCGGGTTTTCCACTAAACCTCCCAAAAGTTAAACTTTTTGTTTGGAAAACAAAGGTGTGTTCCACTAAACCCCCAAAAAGTGAAACTTTTTGCAGGGGGGTCAACAGCAACCAAGCTCCAAAAGGAAACCTATACCCTGGAAGCCCCCGAACGGACCCCTTGAGACGTGGGTCCGTCTACAGAGGCCTTCCGAGAGCATACATGTTAGTCGGAGGAAGTGCATTTGGTAGGATAGACACAGAATGAGATGTGGGCCAAGTTTTAGTGGTTAGGGAATCCAAACGGAGGACCAAGTGGCCGGTTTTCGGGTGTATGAAGGAGATTGCCAATGGCCCACAACGAGCGAGCAGGCAAAATCGTGGTGTCTAATCACCAGCCCGAAGCCCGACCACTGTTGAGGGGTCCGCGCTCAAGGAAAAACTTCCGCGGTTGGTTTGCCACACTCTCCAGGGGTATGTAAACCAGAGAGCCAAGGCGACTCAACGGGTTTGTCTCCAAGATTCTAGAGGCCTTTTGTTGGGGTTGGTGATCCATTGAAGGCACCTTAAGCAAGAACCAAACCTTCGCCTATGAAAGGAAAGACCCTATTTCATCCATAGGAGAGTGTCTCTCTTTATATATTACATATTTTTACACATGTGTGAGCCCTCAGAGTGGTTGGTATTCCCTTTGGTTCTCCAATGTCCAACTTCACTAAGGGTAAAGATGTTTTGTTCTCCAAATTTAGCGGACCCCATTTCTATGGCGCTTCCCCGTTAAAACCCAGGCCTGGTGGGAGGGGGGGGGTTGGCAATTTGCAGTCACACCCATGTGTGTCTCTTTAAATGGGTCGCCCAAATGCGGCCCGCTTTGGTAGCCCTGTAAGACATAAAACATGCCACACTCCATGTAGCGACGGTTTGGGGCCCGGGCAGTTGACCAAGCTCCGATTTGGTCCTTTTGGGGCGCCAAATCTTTCGAGTGAAGCAGAGTTCAGCCAGAAACGGTCAAAAAGGTGGCTCGAGATGAATGTGTCTGGTTCATGCATCGCCTGCTCATGGGGCTCAAAGTCCGTGCGAGTTGGGACACAAATTTCGGTATGTCACTTTGGGAGGCTGGTGTTAACATAGGATTAGTCAACAGTGCCGATTGCCAAAGTGCCTTTTCGGAATCCAATAAGAAAGAATCCTAAACTCTGACGCGGGCCTCCGGGACCAACCCTAATTACTACGTCGCGTTTGGCTGAGCCATTTTCATGCGCAACAATATCAATCGATCTCCATTCCGGCCCACTTAAAACTGTAGCTAATGATGCACTCTCAATCCCGCAGAGCCGCCACCTACGACTGACTACCTTCTTCCACTCTCCCGCGCATCGTTTAACGTGAGGTTTGACCTTCTAGGGGTGGGGAGGGGGGTAGGGTTTATTAATCCGACGTTGGCGTTGCCCTTTTAGAGTTGTTGAAAAGAGAAAGCAAAAGGAAACCACCCATTTTCGGGTTCTACAGTTTTGAGACAAATCTATGAATTTGTTTGCACAACGCCATGAACAAGGCGTGCCACCTGGGAAACACTTGGTAAAAGACAAGACCCCCAAACTACAACTCAAAGCGAAGCATGCCAGACAGAAAACAAGAACTAGTGCAAGCGTGCTTCCTCTCTGCCCTACCCTTCCCTTCCCGTCCCTTCCCCTCCCTTCCCTTTTTCCTCCCCTCCCCTCCCCCTCCCCTCCCCCTCCCTCCCCCTCCCCCTCCCCCTCCCCCTCCCCTCCCCTCCCCTCCCCTGCCCTCCCGTCCGTCCGTCCGTCCTTCCTTCCTTCCTTCCTTCCTTCCTTCAGTGCTTGTCATGTTTGCAGATTCTGCATGCGTTGCTCCTGCTTGCAGTGCAGTAAGAGGGAAACAAACCCGAAGTTGCGAAATATTGCTCCAGTCAGTGACAGAGCCAACTCCCAACAAGACTTGTCCACAGTTTACTCCAAGAAAGTCGCTGGGCCCAACAGCAACCCATCATAGCACCAGAGGTGGCTTCCTGTTTTGAACCCAGTTGCAAGGCAATTTGTAAGCATCCAAACCGGAAATACGTCCAAATTTGTGGGCTTCTCGAACTTGTCTTGTACTTGATCGTCTCTTCCTTCCCCCCTCCCAGTCTCCAACCTGCCCAATTGAGCAGCGCCCAAACCTCTGTTTGAGCCATTTTGGGGCTTCCATTCCCTGAGGGATACCGTGAGAACCCTTAAAACCTGCTACCTGCGCAAAACCACGTCATGTCTAGGAGTCTAGGGGCTTCTTCAGATACCCAGAGAGGCACGCCCTAGCCTCCCGGCGTGCCCCCGATCGAAGGTACCCCTACAGCGCTCGAGAGCTCCTGGCGGTGGTACGACACCTGGAGCGCTTCCCCAATGAGCCGCTGGAGGAGGCCGTCACAGGACTTGTCGTTGGCCCCCGGATTGATAGCCATGTATTTATATGGCCATGGGTCATAACCAATGGCTCCATGTTGGGGCGGATGAACACCCATGTACCACCTATTTTGACGTTCACAAGGGGTACAGGGGTTTGACCCACAGCCATATATATATATAGAGAGAGAGAGATACATGCATGATTTGCAGAGATTGTATATATGTAACGGTGGTGTCGAAACGATTGCATAGAGTGCCTCCGTCTTCCTGGTTGCCAAATTGGATTCGGATGCACGTGTTTCCTTTCCCTTTCACTTTCAAGGCGGTACACAACATAAATCGTATAATGTGCATGGCAGCACTGAGACACGGGGCATATACATACTTCTATTCATCTCCGGGTCACTTGTTTTTATAGGGGATTCCTTTACTCAGATGAAGCAATACCTTTGGATGTGTTTCCCGGTGATTTTCTGCAAGAGCTTCGGTTTGCATGCTTGCTGAGTTCGTTTTTCCCCGGCTCCACGCCCCTTGGTCATTTTGAGCTGCCGTTCAAGTGATTTATTTTGGGGCCTCGATCAAAAGCGATGAGGGGAGAGACCATAAGCTGTGGGCCATCCTTTAGTTTCTGGGTAGACTTGGCTGACAACCCAAAATAGAGGGCCGATGTCTTTTTCACTCGGTCCCTGTAGGCATCTTGTCCCTTGAAAGGCGAATCTATCACATCACTTTATTGGTTTTAAAGGGAATCTATCACATTATTTTTTTTCCTGGGGGCTTGAGCAAATGGAAGCTTAGAACGGTTACCTTTTTCCCAAACGGCCAGGTTTCGTCTTTTTTGGTGAGGCATTGAGCTCGGTTCTGGCCTTCGACCGCTTCGACGCAGCGCTCAAGGTGGGATAAGGGCAGAAACGGCGGGTATGGTGGACACGGGTCTGTTTTGCAGCCACCTTCTGATGGTTGTTGTTGGGAAACATTTTGCATTTTTGCTTATTGTGGTTTAGTGGGAAATCCCCACTTAACTGCTACAGTTTATGTTTTTCGCTCCCCAAGTAAAGTGGTAAAGTAGGCGTGAGGTTCCCTATGCAAGAATCCAGGGGTTCTTTGCTTGATTGAACCGCTCCCAGGCTTAAGTCCATTCTGTTGTGCCCAAAAGATGGAACCCTGTTAGTTAGAGCGCGTTACTTTCCACAAAAACAAGCAAGGAACTCTCCTGGGTGAGATACCTAGCAAACCTCCCCAAGGAAACCTCTTCTGGTAAAGTAGTCATGGCTGGCTGGGAATCAACCAACTCATACGGTTTCTAGGTATCGTATTAATCTGCAGGCAGGATGTCCCATGTTCCCCTTGCAATATCATTTCATGTTTTAGGGTAGACTAAATATAGTGGGAAAGAGTCATAAAGTCTTACTGCCTGTGTACCTCGCATATGAGTGTTTCTCAAAGTCATAGGAGAAGCGCGGCCTCTTTTTGGTTGGGAATCCCAGGAAGCTGTTCGATGATTTTGAACCCCTTTTCTATTATAACCCTCTCATTTTGTTCAAAGGGGTTTCCCCAAGCGCGCCAACAAAAACATTCAGTGCTTGGGTTCATCGCTTTATGGGTTGTTCAGAATGGGATAGTGACTGTTTGGCAATTATATTAGGGACCCTGCAACGGTCCACTTCATGACAACCCAAGCTAGTAGTCTCTCATGAATCAAATGGGGGTTTTCCCCAAGCGCGCCCACCAAAACATTGCCAAATCATGGAACATGTGCGCCCTCTAGTTGGGAAATCCCCGGAAGCCGCAGTCAGAACCCCCTTTTCGGTTTTTTGTCCATGGCTTTTGGTTGCCAAAAAGAAAAAAAAAACAAAAGAAAATAAAAACGCGAGGAGCAGCTGCGCCCGCTGCTGGAGAAGCGGAACATTTCCAGCCTGGCGGTGCTCGGTGCCCGGGCGGCACAGGTTGGCAATTGGCTCAAAGACGCATAGCCATCGTATTGGTTCATATTGGATCATATTGGTTCAACCAATTGGTTATTGGTTCATATCTCACTTCCTGAGTTCATGAACTTTAAACTTTTGGTGAAGACCATTTTAGTGGCAAATATAAAGTTTGGACTTTTTCGGGCCATCCACTCAGCAGGTGAGATATTGGTTCAAGACCCGCTCTTGAGCCAGAAGGAGGGGTGCTTTGAGCAAGGGATGCGGAAGCGCGTGTTGAAAGAAAAGCTTGGGACAACCCACTAGAGACTCTCTTGGAGTGTCTTAGACACGCCGTTTTGGACGTGTCTGTTTGACATTCGCTGCTAGCATCTGAGGCGGATATAAGACTCTCAGCGTAGCTTGGTGCCCTGTGACCTGTGACCTGTGACCTGTTGGCCGGCAAAAGGCATTATTTTTCTACTAAGAGGGTTGAGCCCTGGATTAGCACATGTGAGGCAGTTGGGCAGCAGCAAAGGGTGCATGTGTTTTTCTGGGCCGCCCCCAAAGGGTCTTGCCATTGTGAACGGCAAAGGCATCCAGAAACTGGGTCTGGCCCCGGCCCCAGTCTGCAGATCATTTGAATCCGGGGCCCAAACTAGTGGATGTTATTTAGGTGGGTCTTTATGCCCACCAGCCACTTTTGCGGTGATTTTCCATTACTTGCAGAAACTGGATGTCAGACCAGACGGGCGAAGACGCAAGCCGTTCCATCGGGCGTGGTTTCATGCTGAGCTTTATATCTCTGTGTGTGTGTGTTTCCAAGGATGAAGCACTAATTGAGCCACAATCAAAGCCCGGGTAGATGAAGGTTCGTAAGGGACAATTCCAAAAAATAAATAGCTGCGGCCGCCTTCTGAATCCTGTACATGGTTCTGGGTAGACCATGTAGTACCAGGTGTTGATTGCGACTCAATTGAGCAAGGGCACCCAGAGATCTCTGTCGGAACAATGGGTTGCACCCGGCATCATCATGCTTCCCAGTTCAGCGCATTCCACCCTCATCCCTTTCTGGCGGATCTTTCAGAAACGTTTGATGGATCCCAAAAAGAATGCTCCACAGGAGAATGCTCAGGTTCCATGTGAGGGAGGGTTCCAGCAATGTGAGGTCCAGTCTGTGGTTTTTTGGCTGGAGCATGGGAACTCATCACGTTTCCACAAACACTGGGGACTCCAGCACTCGCCCATGACCGTGTCTCATGTTCCCTGTGTCACACGCCCGCACTGAGGACCTGTCAATGGCAATCCAAGACACTCGGCAGATGTAGCCCGCAAGTTGCGCGACAGTCCGAGGTATCCTGCCACTTGCCGTTCTCAAATGTCTGAGGGCTGGACTTGATTGAGTCGACCAAATGCCAGATTCTGGAGGGTTCGGTTTCCTGGAGCTCCACTCCAAAAACTGAGAGACCCCCAAAGCAAAAGTCTGCAAGCTGACGATACATGGGTTCCTGCCATTGGAGGCCTGAGAAACTGAGCGGCACACGGCTAGGTTCGTTCACATTTTAGCGTGAGATACACCGCTTGGCCCGTATTCCGAAGGTTTTTGCCCACCCTTCGAAGAGCAACCCGGGGCTTTTCCAGCGAAGTCAATCTCTGGCGTGACAGAACCGGAGCCATGGACCATTGACAAAACATGGGAGGGAAACCCAAACTCAAGGCTAGCCCTCAGGAGAAGCATACTGGCAAGATGGTTTGCATTCTTTGCCACGTGGCCTCCCCCTCCCGTCACATGGCCTAAAGCAGATGTCTCAGAACTTGAAACCATGTTGGTGCCTTGATATGCCATCGCTGTGCAGCAAAGACCAGCCAGTCAATTGTGTGCTCCGCACAGCTGGGTTGATTTGCAAAGAGTTACGCATTTGCTGCTTAGTAAGAAACTCAACAGATCAAAGGTCGCACTAAAGAGCAATTAAGTCAAGGGCTTCATAGTCATTGAGCAGGCAACCATGGCTCGACAAGGTGCTGAGCTTTTCCAGCTCGCAACAACTTCACAGGAACGCCTGAGCTGAACTGATCCAACAGCAGAATGCCTCAACGCTAGAATGTCTACGAGCTCCATCTAAGTATTGTTGCCCGAATGAAGCGAACGCCGGACATTTGTTTCGGAGAAAAGGGCTAGGCCTGCCAAAGTTTGGGCTGAAATGTCAAGGTTCAGCTAAAGCTTCAACGTTAGAAGCTAGAAGCGATCAGAGGTCTCCCTCTGAGTTGCCATGGCTTGCGATTGGAATGCTGTCCTGGTTGAAAGAAGTCACAGTACGAATCAAGATGCGCCTGACCTCAAAAAATTGGAACAGTGCATGACCTATGGCCGCGAAATCACCTCCTCCACCCCACCAAACTGAAGCGGATAAAGGGAAGACTCCAGGAAGCGCTTCGAAAGCACAGCTTGGGCTAAAGCGGGGACATAAGACGATCGACCAAAGCACGAGAACCAACGGCCAAGGTTAGGCGCTCACATCCACGGACCTGGATGTCTTTTCGACATGAGGTCATGTTTTCAGCTCTAAAGATGGGCCATCTGCCACCTGCCAGGATTCCTTGGGTGGGAGGCTCGAAAGGTAAGGCGCAACGAAGGTGCGGCGGCCACCCCAGAGCAGCCCTGGCTGCGTGCGCTGGAGGCGCTGCGCGCTGCGAAGTTGGGGGCGCCGCTGCGCCTCACCAAGGACGGGGGAAATGCAAGGGTGGCATGTATCTATCTATACATGTATATATACTGTATTGGCAACAGCAACAGCAACAGCAACAGCAGCAGCAGCAGCAGCAACAACAAGAAGAACAACCACAACAACAACAACCACAACAACAACCACGACCACGACCACAACGAAGATGACGACGACGACAACGGCAACGGCAACGGCAACAGCAACAACAGCAACAACCAACAACCAACACAACGACGGCGAAAGCGACAGCGGCAGCGAAGGACGACGACAACGGCAACGGCATAAGCACTGATAGCATGAATAACAGCACTACTGATAACAACAGCAAACAACGCATTGGGTGTGTTTTTTTGTAGCACATACTAGGCATTTGTCGTGGGATTAGGCGATTGCCTTTGCGCACCTCACCATCCTGTGAGATTCCGAAGTTCGACAGACTGAATCTTGCATTTGGGAACATAGCACCCGGACAACGAGGGAAAGGACTGCAACAATAGGGTGCACGTTGCTCAACTTGAAGCACTTGCTCTTGCAGAATTGCAAAGACGGCAAAGGAGTTGTGAAAACAACCTCCATATTCAATAAAGCAATATGGTTGCTCGTGTGAAATCTGGCATACGTGATGAACCTTCCGACCATGAGCTACAACAGCCCACTGGTGAGTTGTTCGGGAAATTTGAACGAGCAATTTGCCAAGGACTGGCTTAACATTGCCTCTTTCGTTCTGGCGTCTTTCCCCCAGGGATCTTCTAGGTATACTGATTTCAAGGCTCCGACCCTAGTTTTGTAAACTAGAGAACTTCTACGAAGGTCACTTCCTCAAGCCTTCGGGATGCAGACCAAGACCAAGCCTAGTCTTACCAGAAGTGTCTGCGCTCAGGAGCCGGCGGGCGCTTGGGTGGTGAGCTCCGAGGCTGAGGGTCAAATCTTGCCACAAATTGAGCACAAAGAGAAACCCAGGAGAGATGTTCAGTCACTCAGTCCCCATCCCCAAGAGAAACTGTGCCCTCTTTCAACAGACTTCTAACTTTAACACAAGTAAGATCCGCCAGGGGTTGTCCAGGAGTCCAGGAGCACATGGGAAAGCAATCGTTGAATTGGAGCACTCGGGGCTCGCCCATTCCCAGGATGCCAGAAGCGCCCAAGGGTTTACGAGGCTAGAATCGCGGCTAGAGGAGATGTGCCGAGGCTCCTGGCGCCACGCCCTGGATGTTTAGACACACCAACTCGGGCATGGGCGGTTCTAATCCAAAAGGCGGGGTAACACAACTAGTAACTAGTCAAAGGGGCACTTTGCACGTCCCTTCTTCAGGCTTTGAAAGCGCTTCTTGATTCTTGAGGGCTGCAAACCACCACCGCACCGCCTCAGCTTTCTCACCTTCGAAACTTGATCTTGCGTCACCTGCTCTGGCAAAATCGTTAAACTGGTTTCAGTGAGAAGTTGCCAGGCCTTGTGAGTCGGAGCAATTGAGAAGTCCCAGCTCCTAACGCCGAGGGGTCTCAGGCCTTTTCCGCTGGGACAACCATGGCTATGAGTGGACGTAGATCCCCGATGATGTCCACCGCCGAGTCCTTCTTTAAAATTTATGCCTAGGAATTTCCTAGAACGCCATCTAAAAGTTGATCTGGTTTCCATGTTTGAGACCCCATGTGCTGCGTTGGTTCGTGCCATGGTTTCGAGTTGCATGAGTCCTGGTTCTTAGAACCGCAGAGCGGTTCTATTCGGCAGGTGAGATGGATCTGGGCAATTGATGTCATTAGCTCACAGTGGATTTTGGTTTGCGACTGCAAATCCATGAAGATTCCTTGCTTGGGGGCGTCCATGTTGCACTGCAGGTTGGGGAATCATTGATTCGGAAACAAAGGCAAAGCCAGACAGGGGGAATTTGAGACTTGAGCGTTGAGTTTTGGTTGAGAACCTGTTTTTTCTTGGTTGTTTTTTTCCCCCGACGGCTTGGTCACGGTGCTAAAGGCGCCTCGCAGGCACCAGTGGCCTTTGGGTGCACCAATGCGAGCGACCAAGTGAAGCCTGGGGGCCTGGCAGGGCCTTCGGCGCTCGCGAGGCCCATAAAGAAAGGCGGAGGCACATGGGCAGCCCCCAAAAGATGGGAAAACACACCTGGCTGCTTTAAAGTAGTCATGTGTTTCAGACCAGCTACCAAAAGTTCCCGTTTTAGTGAAATCCGGCCCAGGTGTGTGGCAGGGAACCAAGAGGCAACTGGTTCCTAGTCAGTTGGACCTCAGATTCTGGAGACCCCCTCAGATCACGAGGGAAGCGTCGGCAAATGTCATTGAATTAGTAAGATCACTTAGAACATGCCCACAGGCCTTCTGACCGGACTCTTGATCTCGCCACGTTCGCGGTTACCACTTAGGCTTCCTTCAAGCAGTTGCAGCCTTTGTTTTGGTTCTGCTGCTGGGTTTACATGTTGTGTGTGTGTATTATGAACATTCGTCCCATAATTGAAGAGCAGCTGCTGGCAAGCTTGGGTCTGGCTTTCACCCAAATGGGCCGAACCAAGCCCCGATCGGAAGCTCTTTCACGTTTGACCTCTTGTTCTTGTCTGCTCCTTTCAGGTCAATTGGGTGTGTCTTGTTTCTTCGGGAAGCTCCCTTTGGTTGGGTTAAAAGGGAAACCAAAAGGAAACACACACACACACACATACACGCCTCTCGTCGCACACGTACACCCCTCTGGGGTTCCACCCATTTTGCATCAAGCCATTTTGTGTGATTCACCCAGGCAGATGCCCCCGAATCTATAAAGCGTCCGGGTTGTTTTCGCATAGCCTGGGGCGCGAACGATTTAAACATCCCCCTTGCTCATTGACATATCGGACTAGTGCTCCCAACCACCCACCCACCCCGACCGTTTCCTCCAAATAAGAAATATGTCGCCCTATGCTCCGTGGGTTTCAAAACCGCGCCGCCTCAAGCTGAACTGGGCAACACAAGGCTTGGCTGGTTTGCGTGGCCTGCGTGGCAAGTTCTGAAGATTGCAGGGTGCCAACGCACTCACAGCAAGCATGCTGGCGACACACGCAGCGTGAGTACAACAATGCTCGGGCAGAACCGTCATGACAGTGTTCTCTGCGACGTGGGCCGTCGCTGTGATCATTCCCCCCCCCCCCCCCACGCCAACCCCATCCAACCTCGTGCATGCAGACTCTTGCAAAATACACTCTGGCAAGCTCACGGCTCGAAGAAGCTGCGTCACTTGAGCCAAAGCAGATGGGAACTTGTGGCACTTGAGTTGGGTGCAGAGCGCGGCGTTGCTTGTACTCCGTGTTGAGTGTCCAGCAATGCAGCCATTCGTCATGCTTTATTCGCAGCAGGCATTGTTGAGCACCCGACAGGCACAATCTAGAAGTTGATCAAGGTTGCAAGAGCGTACTGGAATAATTGGGATAAGCACTGTACTGTCTGTCTATCTGCCGCAAAGTGATAATCCAAGTTAACGGTCCAGAAAAAGAACCATGTTTTGCTGCCTTCTGTTTGTGGGCTATCTTCCAAGACCAGAGGTGCTGATTGACACCTGCATTTGCATTCATCGCATAACTGTTGCCCGTCTGGTTTCAGGTACAGGCAGTCAAGACGGTGCTGACTCAAGTTGCCAACCTGTTGGCAGGCTTAGCCAAACTCGCGGTCAAATAGGCCCCTCCCCCTTTCAAAGATAAGCCATTGGCCACAAGTAGGTTGTGGTTCCCTGGTCCGGTCCTGTTTGCCAAGGTTTCAGCCGCAATGGTGCAATGTCTCAGGAACAGCCACCACCACCACCACCACCACCACCACCACCACCACCACCACCACCACCCCGGCCGCCGCCACTACGCAAACGTTTCGACTCTCTTCCCGCGCGAGGCTCCGCCCGGCGATGCTGGACCCACCCAAGGCGGTGCCATTGGCAGAGCTGAGCTTTGAGCGACGCGCAGCTGATTTTGGCTTCGCACGGCGGATTCTGGGGGTTGGGCCATTGTCACAGAACCGGCTTTTGGTTTCCCTTGGTGTGTGTGTGTGTGTGTGTTTGTGTGATGAGTGTTTGTGTGTGTGTGTGTGTCAATGCGTGATGGAAAGCTCCTTAGGTTGCTTTCAAGAGGAAGCCAACAGGAAGACGCCCGTTGGTGTTCAGCTGCTATTAACGCAGACTCCCGCATAGCAAGATAGGTGCAACTCAACATAGAGAGCGAAGCGAGCTTTTTTGTGTTTTGCACTATGCTAGTAATCCACCATTTGAAGGGACCCCAGATGGCAGTGTTGTTTTAGGGGTCTGCAACAGAGCCGCGGCGGACATTCGTTACAGACCTCGTTACAGACCTCTTTAACAAGGCCCGCTGGCTCGCTACACACCCCTCGTCACACACCCTCGTTACAGACCTCAGATGAACAAACTTCTTGGCTGGTTGCATGCCCCTCTTTACATACCCCAATGCATGCACAGACTCTCAGTGATTTCCCATGCTCCTGCCGAGCAGACGTTTGCAGAGCACGTTTTGCTGAAGTCAACTTGCAGAGAGCTTGCCATTCAGATGAAAAGTGGGAACACGGGCCGCTGTACCTCGTTACACGCCTCGTTACATAGCCATTGCATACCTCGCTACAGACCAACCCCAGCCCCCCCTTTTCGCCGCTTGGCTTGCGTTGAATAACTGCAATCAAGCCGGAGCCGCGGAGGCGCGCTTTGCGTATTGCGCTTTGCTTTGCCTCGTTACAGACCTTGTTACATAGCCGTTACATACCTCGCTACAAACCCAACCCCAGCCCGGGCCAGTGACCCCCGTTTTTGCCATCGCTTGGCTTTGTGTTGGCTGCGGAGGCGTGCTTGGCGTACTGCGCTTGCACTGCAGAGCTGCGACTTTCGAGCTGGAGCTGCTGCTCTCCGTTGTTCTGCGCTACATTGTGCAACTGATACTGGTAGATTTTCCCCTTACAGACCTGCGTAACAAGACCTCCGTAACAAGAGTCGCGACGCGTCGCGCTTTACAGACACTCACAACAATTCATAGCCAAATGTTGAGCCAAACGATTGCAAAGATCAGATGCGCAAACCACAGCCTGCACAGTGACAAAGGCGGCGAAGGTGTGCATGTTTACCAGCTGCTTCAACGAAGCATTGGATGGAAAGACTGGGTTCTGCATGTCGGGTTTGATCTTCCGGCTTTCAACAGCCCCGAGCTGTTCCTAGAAGGTACAATTGGTGCTGGGTGCCTTTGGTTTCCCAAACTAGAACGTACACATCGTGCAGCGAGGGGATGCAAGGAGTTTTGCGGAAGAGCTTCGGATGTTGAATTTGCTGAAGCTTTAGAGATCAGATTGAACTTTGGAGTTCAGTTTCGTGAATCGACGCATCACTGCGCCATATTGAAGACTAGCAACCGCCCCAACACTAAAGTACCTTTGGGCCCACAAGCCCAAAGCATCTTCTGTGTCGTTACCTCCGGCCATTTCAGGGCCAATAGGTTTGCGTTCCCACATTGCAATTCCCCCAAGCTTTGTAGGCTGCCTGCACTCCCTTAGCAGGCCTTGTTTTTAATTTGTCAGCTGCCCGTGAGCTGCGCTCTTGAAAACATTCTTCTCAACGACCATGCTGCATTGCCTCTCCTTCACCTCGCAACTCAAATCAATCTTGTCTAGGTCCCTCAGTAGTGCCCTTTCCACTAAAATAGACCACAGAAAATAACCTCTCTGCTGGAGAACCTAGTTGTACACTCCCCTCTTTCAGGAAGCGGCCTGGACTTCCACGAGGGCGTGGTCCGGGCTGCACTCCCCTTGGGCCGCCACGCTGGGGGCGTGGTGGATGCAGCAGTGGATCCCGAGGGCGCGGTGCATGTGCTCTCCACAGGCGCACACGCGCCCGCGCGAGCGAGCGAGCGCGCGTCGAGCAGAGAGAGTGGCTAAACGGGTAAAGTCGCTTCCTGAGGTCCTGGACTTTGAGCTTTCTGGGTTTGGACCATTTTAGTGATAAATAAACGGTTCCAGGACTTAGGAACTGAGTAAAAGATCTCAGTTGGCGAACCTGAATTGTTTGGCTGGTTTCCTCATCTTTCTACTTCTGTCAAGTCAACAGGTCAGTGTCTCGAAGAGGTGGTCAATAGCACCATTCGGGTCGGCCTTTAAGGGATTGAAGTTACCATCATAAGGTAACTTGAAGGGGAACCATGAGCACGGCCCACCAAGAGTGTTGACCATAGCTTGTTCGAGATCTTTAGAAGATCCCCTAGTACAGGTTTATTGGAAACGGCCCCAAGCCAAAGCTTCCGCGGGGCGCCCTTGATATGTTTTGGGGATAGGTATTCCGTCGGTTTTCTTTTACCAGACTTTTACTGGCGGCTGAAGACCCCTGAGCGTTCCTTGAACGTCAACTTCAGCATTCTTGGGAGGGCCTGCCTCAACTTTGGACATGCTGCATTTGCAGGTTGGTGTAATGGCACTCATGTTCGACCTTGCGAGCAGTAGCTTTTTTGATTAGCCTTGTGTGTGTGTGTTGGAAAGTCGACCCTGCTTTTTGCAGACTTATAGACACCTTGCGCACCTCCCCGCAGATTAACATGGAACCCAGAAATCAGCAATTTTGAGAGGAACCTCCTTTGGGGCACGATTGTTGTTGGGTTCCATGTTGATTTGTAGGGGAATAATAATCTCAAACAGTTTCGTCGCAGAAAGCCCTCCAATTAACGAAGACGGTGGATTCCCGTGTTTTGGTGCCTTGCTACTTAGTTCTTCCGAACCAACCTATTGACTCGTTTGACCCTTTGGTTTTTTCCTTGTTGGTCCACTTGTAGCAAAGGTCCCAGAAGGTTAGCCTTCTATTTCTAGGTCCTTTGGGCAAGTAAGTGAGGGTGTCAATGATAGATTCAATTCTTTCCTGCGTGCATAGAATCCTACAACAGCTTCAGCCTGAGCGTACCTTCCTTTTCTGCCAACCCGAGTCCTACCTAAACCCTTCGCCGGACCCATCTATTCCCAAGTAGGTCGCCTCTGTCATGGGCGCCCCATCTATTTTCAGCCGAAGAGTCCAAAGGTAGGGTCCTTCAATACTCGGATCGATGCCCTTGAGGTTGTTGTTCACGTGAGTCCAGCTGTTTGAGTACCTGAACCTACTTGGCAAGGGCGTCAACCTCTCGACTTCATTTGATGCATCACAAGACGTCCTTTACTTATGTAATTACGTGCTGTCGTGTCTTTGTTTGAGGGTACCAGGTCCCTTATTAACCAGGCTCCCGCCTGCTGCCGCCGACCCTCGGCGCATTAAGGGAAAAGTCATAAGGACCGGTCCTGAAACACGTCCGCAAACCCAGGGACCACTTATAAGATCCTCTACGACCACAAACAAGGATTAACGGAAAAGTCAGAAATATGGCAGCTAGTCCGTTAATTACCGCTCGGGCCGGCTTGCGCCCAAGTCACTTCGAGTTGGCCCGGGAGCAGTCGCCTCTCCCGGGCGCCCTGAAACTGGCCCTCCCGAAGCTGCCCCGGGGACAGTTGCCCTGGACCGGTCGCCGGCAGGGACCGGGACTTGGGACCCTGTCCAGGCTGGTCCCAGTCTGGCGCGGTTTGACTCGACGTATTGGACTCTCTTGCAGAATAGATCCAGAATCCAGGGATCCTCTACTACCACAAGGATTAACGGAAAAGTCAGACAGATGGCAGCTCGTCCGTCAGTCCTAGAAACAAGGCCGTCGGTGCCTCAACCGGTCGCAGGGAGACTTGGGACCCTGTGCGGTCCTGAAACACGGGTGCCAGTCCGGAAACAGCGACATTGGAGGAAACAGGTGTCTGGAGCGGTTTGAAGTGGATTAGGTGTCTGCAGCGGTTTGAAGTGGGATCCGATACCAGCAGTCACGCCAGGACTTGATCCCGGGACCGGCTTGGACCAGTCCTGAAAGCGGTCCTGGCCGGGACCAGTCCCAGGACCGGTCCCAAAGCAATCTGAAGCAGCAGAACCAGGGTCCCAGGACCAGTCCCAGGACCGGTCCCAGGACCAGTTGCATCCCACGCCGGTCCCCTCTGCAGGAGGCTGGGACGGGAGGCAGAGGGTCGGCGGATTTAGAGACACACCCGTGTGATGCTGCATACATTGCGTTGCAATTCATGCGTACATGTGTACATACATGCATACATACATGCATGCATGCATACAATATATACATAGATGCAGCGATGCATTGGTGGCATGGAGACGCAAGTGCATACATGCATACACGCATACATTCAGATGTCATGCACATGGTGCGTGCATGCATGCAGTCAAACAGTCACACATTCATACCAACATCCATGTATCTAGAAAACCATGCATTCATATACCCTTATGCATGAATACATGCCTGCAAACACGCAGGTTGTTTTGCTTCAAACTCTAGCCCAACATGCCACAAGTCACACCGATCCTGTGTGCTAAAGAGCAGCTTAGATTTTACACAACGAAACCAGTGTTGGGGATGGGTAATACATGTTTGAACTGAAAAGGGGATGGGTAATGGAAAAAACCCACAAGGTAAAAAGGAAAATTGAAAAAACTAATGGTTAACGGATGGAAAGAACCAGACCTGCCGATTGAGCCATGGATTGTGAGCCTGTTCGCTGCCAGGCCCGCTGTGCCTCTGGACCATCCAGGACCCACAAGCGCTGGGCGCCGAAGCAGGTCGCTGCTCCTTGTTGCAGGCCAGAGAACCTCGGGGAGGCGCTGCATGGTTGGTGTATGCACCCTGTTTCGGGTTTCCTTAGAAAGTGTTGTTTGTTTTTCAGACAAAACTACTCGCAGCAATGGAGCAAAGTTGGTGACTGTGTTGCGGGGATTTGTTTCACAAGCCCTGCCTACCCTTTCGTAATGATGGGTATGGCGTTGGAGTGGGCAGCAAACAGCGGCGAGACGTTGTGTTCAAAGATCTCGTGGTGGTAGAGGCAATCCACAGGGTCCACTGCAACTACTGCCCTACGCGGCAGGCTTACAGATCCGCTCACCTTGCTTGTGAATGGTCCGGTTGGTGCAGGTTGACAGCCATTTTGCTTCCCAGATCGTTGGGAGGCCTCTTTCATTCTTTGAGGATGGAGCATCTCTTGTGAACCTTTAAACGCTTGGCCAGTTTAGTGTCCTTCTGTCGTTCATACCATCGACGGTCTATGTATCTCCTATCATTTGTCGGAGCTATCTCGCCACATCTTCTGTGACCCGGTGGGCTATTTGCTTCTTGTCGGTGGTTTCAGCGATGTTTGTTTTCTTTGCAGCCATTCCCATGAACGAATCCCGGGTCACCAAGTCTGCCACAAGTCTCCCTCAGGAGTGGCCAACCATGTCAGCGCCTATGAGTTGATTGCCGTTTCTATTATATATATGTATACACACATACATGTATGCTCACCCCCTCCTTCCCCCTCCCCCTCCCCCCCAGGGCCCACCTTTCACCCTTCTTGTTGGACAGTGTCATATCATCTACTTTGCACTTCCACATGTCTGAAAACACTGCAAAATACAGTGTTTGCGTGGATTGGTAACTGCAGGACAGCTTGGGGCCCTGCCGGCGCCCTTTTGCTTCGCTCAATATTGGATTCGACCAGGATGGCTTTCTTTCGCTCGGCGTATCTGGCCCTCGGGCTCACCTGTTTCGATGTGGGTATTCTGCAATTGAGACCCTTGTCCTCACGGCCTGGGAGGAGATCGTCCGTTCCGAGATCACTGGGCGACAACACTTACACGATCTTGATGACATCGACCCTGGTATTTCGGGGTCCTTCTTGGATCAGATGCCACCCATCAAGGCGCGAACTGCACTTTCCTTTCCGGAGGATTCCCCACTGATTGGGCACAGACCACTGATAGCTGCAGATTGTGTGGACAGGTTGATACGCATGCCCATCGGGTTAGCACATGTGTTGCTACAGGTCGCATTTGTGGGCACGCCAACCTCGCAGAAGTCGACGGGCTTAGGGCCGAGGCGCCCTGGGCACGACTACCCCTGACTACTCGACTCTTCAACGCCTTTGGGATGAGGTTGGTTTTCCAGATCTTGCTATCACGGTTGATGCTGATGACATCGGCTGCACTATATTTACCGAGGGCACATGCGACCGGCCTGCTGATATACGGGTTGCGCAAGCAGCATGGTCGGTTCCGCGGCCCTGTACAGTCGCATAAGTTGCAGAACATAGTCGAGTTCGAGTTAAGCAGCGCATCGCGGACATGCAGTCCAGGAATGTGGCCAATGCCAAGGCGGACAATCCATCGCAGTTGCCCTTGCCCGAGTCAAGAATGTCAGGGTTGTGACAGATTGCCAAGGTTCTCATTGCCGGTCGTGGGGTTGATTGATATTCCAAATTCCAACCACCCAAATTTTCGACATCCTCCACTTCCTGCATGAAGCAGTTCACAAGTGGCCAATGATTGATCGACGCATTTTCATCAACAAGGTCAAGAGCTACCAGAAGCCTGCTTCCTCATTAGCAACCATCCGTGATGTTGCCGGCAATGAGGCTGATCGAGATCTCCTTGAAGCAGCTGAAACCATCGCGGTGCATTATGCCACCGTTGCTGACAGGTGTCGCAAGTGCTGCAATAGGCAATTTGTTCCTTGCGACCCACTGTGTCAAACGCCTACAGGCGTGGCATATGCGACTACCAATGGGTATTTTCAGGTTTCATTGATGATGAGTGGCGCAAACCCGCCCCTTCACCCTCGCTGCTATGAAACGGATAAAACTTCTGAGGCGGCCTGTTCAAGACGATGATGCAGGTCAGATAACATGGCTGGAACTCCTTGTTTCGTTCAAGGAGCACACCGGACTTCCACCCCACAGTTTATGGGGTTTGTCAGTCCCCTGCCGAGCATGGTCATTAGAGCTTCTTCCGGGCCCTGAAGACCATTACCAAACAGGAGATCTTACCATGGAGCAAAGCCACTCGAAAGGTTCACACTGGTCGCCTTTTTTGGTGTTGCAGTTCACGCTGGCGGCAGCCCGATTTCTCCTCATTCTACCGCAAGCCCGAAGGATCCCTGCAGTTCAGCAGGAGGACCTTACCCTCCTACCGAAACAGATCAAGGACCTCCAGAAGAAAAGAGGTCATGTCTGGCCTTTTTGACATGGTTCGCATTACCGCCAACCTTCGATATCAGGAAAAAGGTGTTTGGGCTGGAAGCCGTAAACATCCAATCTCTTCTCTTGTCCGCGTGGGCTAAGTCCTCCTAGTGAGGTGGGCTCGCGCCTGAACGTTTGCTCAAGAAAGCCACATGGCGCACTTCTTCCTGACACACCTGTCTATCATGCATGAGACTAATCCGGGGGCTCCTGTGTCAGGGATTCTGCGGTACGCAGCGATCTGGGATTTCCTTTTCCGTTTGATCGTGCGGGCTAAGCCCCCACCCCGTGGGGTGAGTTCCCGCCAACGCCGGACGCAGCGCGTCAAGCTTGGGTTGACCTTGGCTGGTCCATCCGGCGTGTGTCGATGCGAGCGTACATCGCCCCATCCCTTTCACATTTGAGCCCTTGTACAGCTTTGTTTTACGACCTTTGCACGTTGGCATGTTGATTCACGTTTTACCATTCCCCCTCTCTGGTTGGGTGGCTCGCATAGGCCGGCCACCCTGGCGCGGACATGCACGGACAGTCAGAATCGGCGTTGGGGACGCCCAAAGACGACAGATTGTGCAAAGGTTTTGTGTTCTGAGAGGACGTACCATGTGGAGAAGCAGATTTGCAGCCTGTGAGAAGCTCAGAGGAGCGGATGTCCTTGAAGGCGGCAAGAAGCGAAAAGAGGCGCCAGCGAGTCCGTGAAAAATCACCTTCCTCATCTTCGAGCAGCAGCTCGTCATCTTCGTCCTGGTCTTCCCTGCCGTAGCGCTCGCCTTGCAGCCTGCGCGTCTCCGTCGAAGCAAAAGAGGTGCTAGCAGCGCATAGTGGTTTGATTTCGTCTGGGTGGTGTTTGCTAAGTGCGTTTCCCAGCAAGCCGTGCGCACTAATCCCCTCGCGGAAGCTGCCGTCCTCAGTTTCTGGAAGCAACTTGCTCCCGGAAGGCCCGCGGAAGCAGTTACATAGAAATTTATAGAAACAAGCTCGCGGAAGGTGCCCTTCACACCGCGGAAGCTTCGCGGAAAGAATCGCGGAAGGGTGTGACACATCAATGCAAATTTGAAGGGAATAAAACCACCACTCTCGTGGAACCCTGGTGCAACTCTGGTGGAAGGAACCCTCGGAACCTTGCCTCAGGGCCGCCCCGGACCACCCCGGGCTGAGACCCCAAGGCTGTCAGCCGTTGGGGAACAAAAGTGCTTTATCTTCGCCTCCCTGTCAAACAGCCCAAAAAAGGACCGTCCCCGGAGAAAAAGAGAGAGAGAAAGAGAGAAATAATGAGAAAGAATGAGAAAGAAAGAGAAAGAAAGAGAAAGAAAGAGAAAGAAAGAGAAAGACAGAGAAAGAAAGAGAGACAAAGAGAAAGAAAGAGAAAGAGAAAGAAAGAGAAAGAGAGAGAGAGAGAGAGAGAGAGAGAGAGAGAGAGAGAGCGAGAGCTGTAAGCCCGCGCGAGGTGGGCCCCGGTGCTGATTGGTACTTCTCTTCTGGAAAAGGTGGAGCCAGCAAGGCCGCGTCCGAATCGTACTTCCGTTGTCGTTCTGGCTGCCTGCTCCAGCTGTATAGCGGCTTCATGCTGAAGGTGGAAGCCTGTCTTTTTTTGGGGGATACCCGTTCTTAGATGAGTTTAATGGGAAACCCCGTAACAAAGACACACCCAAGTGCCAAGTGGATGTTTGATTGATCACGGCCAAGGTTTAAGCCCCCCGCTTCCGGAGTTTGGACTTGAAGGTTTTGCCTTTCAACGGCCTCACGCACCCGACGGCAAGTGCCGAGTGTCTTGACCAACTGCCGGCACATGACTGCCTCGCCACATGCCTTGGTCGATATGCATTCCTTTATTGCGGGGGACCCCCTCTTTGGGTTTCAAATGGAAGCCAACGTGAAACAACTCATGTTGCGACAAACCTAAAGCGCCCGCCAAATTGGATTTGCGATATTGCCGAGCGTGGGGCCTGCACTCACGGACGCAACGAGCACTCGCGAAAGGCAAGTTACAGAGCAGAGATGGCCATCTCGGCCGCAGTTGCTTTTGGTGGGAGGTAGCATTTTTAGTGGGAGGTAACCATGTGCTTTGGGGGTTGCACCCGAAGTTGGTCAAAGTTGAGCCTGAGTTGATCCATGCAAAAGAAAACCATGGCCCAAGGGACATACATTTGGGGACCGTGAATTAAACAAGCGCCTTGCACAAAGGGCGCTGCTTGCACTAGAATGTGATTGCTTGGCTATCTCAGCTGCTCCGATTTCGTCTCGCACCGCCGCTCAGCCATTTTCACGCTCCACTAGAATTCGCGTCCGAGTTTGCTATAATTGTGGGCACATTCAAGCACAGATTTACCTATGTGAGCAACCCGGCCTTTGACGGGACTCAAGTCTCCAGGCCATTCGAGTTATAGCACTCGCGTTGGGACCCTCAAAATAGCGGGTGTCCCTTTTGCTTTCCCTTTAAGCCAATCTAAATAGTGGGGGTCCCTTGGGTTTCCCCTTTTAAGACAATCTGCAAAGGCTACCCTCAAGACGACTCGCACGCCTTTGCGCGGGTATGGCAGTCGTGCCCTCGGTGATCTCCTTCAACAAGGCTCGGGAATGGGACATGGGAATCGAATCCCCTTAGGCGAAGCCTGGGGTTTAACCCCAATGGAACTCCAATTGAACCCAAAATGGAACCCTAAATGGTTTGTGTTTAAACATAGTTCTTCTTGCATACTAGTTTACTTTGGGTTTCTTTTGGCGCCATGTCAGGCCATTACGGCCTGCAAGAAGCAGCGCCGCTGGCGGGATGCTTTGCTTCTACTGCAGGAGCTGGAGGAAGCTTCCCTGCAGGCCAAGTTGGGGAAATCTGTCTTTTAACAACCAGACCCTAAGCTCCGTTAAGCAAACGGTGGTTCTTGAAACCATGAGGGCTTTAACATGTTGAGACAAGGGGCCATTGCGCAAGAATTGTTTGGGGAATCCCGTTCAAAGTGATGACCCAATAAGGGTACCACCGCCGACTTTCCTTTCGGCTTCCCACTTCAGTTTCACTGAAAAGGTGAGATATTTGTCCACAGGCCACTGTGGTGACCTACAACGCCAGCATCAGCGTCTGCGAGAAAGCTGGCCAATGGCAGGCGCGCGGCGCTGGGAAAGGGGACTCCCTGGAAATAGCCCCCAGAGCAGCCCGCACGTCTAGGTCCCCCAGTAGTGCCCTTTTACCTTTTTTTCGGGGAGGCTTCCCCTACTAAAATAGACTGCAGAAAAAAAGGTACCCTTTAGCCCAAACTGTGGCCTCTTTACTTGGCATTATGTGTTTTGCCTGGGAAGGGAGGTTTTGGGTATGGGAAAGGGTTGTGTAACAAAACACAAACATGTTGCAGCAACTCAATTTCCGTTCGAACACACAGAGGCCATGTTTGTGTGTGTATGCATACATGTATGCGTACATATGTGTGAATCTGTGTGTGTGTGTGTGTGCAAGCACCTTACCTGTCATTCCAGTATGTCTCGTAACCCTGCCCATTTGAACCACCCCGGAGCAAATCCAAAAAGCAACAGTGGCTACAAATAGGCAAAGTCATGTCGGCTTTCAATCGGGTCTGCGCCAGCCCGGCGGAAATGTAATGCGCATTTGGCAGCAGTCAGGCAAGAACATTTGGTGTGTTCAAGCAGACCCGGCGCAAATCCAAAGACAACGGTGGCTACACATAGGCGAGGTCAAGTCCAACTTGAAGATGGGGTTGCACCGGCCCGGCGCAAACCCGCACACACACACACACCAGCCCAGCAGCTGGCAATACATAATGTGTGACGTTCTTGCCTGACAGTGGCCAAATTGCAACAGATTTGCGCCGTGCCGGCGCAAACCCGTTTTTCTACTGACATTACCCTATTTGTATCCACTGTGCCTTTGGACTTGCGCCGGGCCGGCGCAAATGTGACAGATGTTCTTGCCTAACGCTATTTCCAGACCGCAACCAAGTTTGGCCTAACAATATTCCTCTCCAGCGTACATGTTGCCATTTTTTCTATACTAGGTTTGCATCCAGTTTCAACTTGCGTTTTTACATTGCGCCACTTCAGCCCCACTAAACTTTCCTGTTCTCAGCCAAGCTTCACCAGCCCAGCGTGGATGCACCCGAACCATCCTCTGTTCAGACAGGGCGTTGTTCACCCTTCGTGTCAGGTAGCTAGACAAGACGGCCTGTATGTGTGCTTGCCCGAGTTGTTCTTCACTCGTGCCACGCGGAAATTGCCTCTAGCGCTGGTTTTCTCGTGCATTATTGTTGGCTTCGTGCCAGACCCTTTTGGTCACTGTTTCAGACCAAACAAAATAGAGAAGCTTCGCAAGCGACAGTCCGCGCGCATTCCGCGTAATTTTTTGCGCAGCACGTTTGCCTCGCCTGAACGGTTCAGACCGGTTCCGAACGGTTCCGAACAGTTTTTTTCAGGGTCAGGAGCAATGCGTGCAAGTGCTTTGGAATTTCAGTCGCTGGGAGGAGTTTGGACGCTTCATTTGTTTGTTTCCTCGCAACCCCTGACAAAAGCCGTCATCTTGGAATCTGCAAGCAGTGAGACTGCTTTGACTACTTCGCCCTGAGCAAGAATGCAAAGTGGTCATGTGTCGTGTCAGGTGGCTCAAGCTTCCCACGCCCTCACCCGGAATCCTGCAGGAAATCAGCTCGCATTGTGACTTTGAGGTTTCCGACAGGCGCTACCGCTACATCCGCTTTGACTTCTTGTGCAAAACTAAGTTTGCAATATTTTCCAGCATACTAAGCATGACATGCCAGAAATCTCGCAATAACGTTTGTGTTCGTGAGTTGCCTCCAGGACGATCGGTGGAGACAACTCATTACAATCAGAAATGCACCCAAACATTCAAGCAGCTGAACCGTTCTGAACCGTTCCTGCAAAGCAAACCCGCTACAACCTGAACCGTTCTGAACCGTGGCAGGTCACGGGTGTCCATAGACGCATCTTGGTTCAGAACCGTTCTGAACAGTTCTGAACCGTTCCAAGCCTTTCCTAGCCACGGAACCGTTCTGAACCGTTCCCGAGGCCAGCGCTCGGACGCAGAAGAACCGTTCTGAACCGTTCTTTAGACCGTGATTTGTCTCAAGATATTAGCCTTACACATATGTCAAGATGTAGCCGGTTCTTGACTCGAATGCTCAATCTTGAACTCTTAAATTGGCACAAGCTGCTTCTTACTTCTTGCCGTGAGCAAAGAATTAGTGGGCACAACTGTAGTGCCAAGCCAATGTAGCCACAGACCATGCCTTCGCAATTATGTTCTTAAGATGTCTGATGACTTGGCCTTGCAAACATGTCGGTATGTGTTGTCGCAGTGCCACGCTGAACTTTATGTTGCTTGCAACATTGATTTGCTACGCATAATTATGCAGTTTATTGCATACTATGTTGCAAGATGTTGTGAGCAACTATATGTAGGGCTGATTGTGTTGAGGCTGTTTGTTTGCCGCATGTGCAGGGACGTGAGTTGCGACGTAGGTTGTTACGTGGGTTCTTTCGTGACCTTAAAGGTTCGGAACTGCCCAACACATAAAAGAGGACACAGTTTGGTCTAAGGTACCCTTATTGTGACCTCTCTACTGGAGGACCTAGACGTGGTTTGGGTGGGTATAATCCCCATTCACCTTGCTGAAAGGGGGTCAAAGCATTTAACTCTCACAGGGTCAAAGGTTGGAGCTGGGAGGGTTTGGGGGCAGGGTGTGGAGCCACATGACATGCACCCGACACCGGGAAAACGATCAGCGTGTACTTGCACAGGTGCTGCCCTAATGCAGAACATGGACCAGGTGGTGTTGTGTTTAGTTGTCGTTGTTTGATTGTTTTTGTGTGTGTGTGTGTCACAATCAACAGATCACAATCAACCCTTCAGAATCCCCTCGTGGGCCGCAAGGTTTTTAGGCCTTTCTTGCACGACGTGCCATTCTAGTGGCCGGAAGGCAGACTGGAGTTGTTGAAGTAGTGCACTCGTCCTCCTACCTGGTTACAGGCCCTGAATTTCCACTGGGCACAATTCAGGTTCACTGCTAGCCGGTGTTGGCGCAGGTCGCGCTTTCGCTGCTGGCGGAGGTGGAAGCCACACGCTTGCAAAGCGACATCATCACCTACAGCGCGGCCATCTCATGTGCCTTCGGGATCCGATCGGTTCCTTTGTGGAATGCTTTCCTTCACAGATGTCTCCTGGTGCATTTTTGTACGGAAACACGGTCTTCCGGTCGTGCATTCCCTGCAGAAATGCATGTGTGTGTTTGTGTGTGTGTTGCGTTTGTTTTGAATAGATTCTCCTATAGCACACGTATTGGCTTCCTTTGTGGATGGCTTTCGCTTCCGCTACAAATACGCAGGGTCCCTTTCTTTTGGATAGCTTCCCCCACAATGCGTTTTGGCTGTGTTGGGCGCACTTTCGCTGCAAGTGCAGGTGTCTTTGGGCGTAATCTCGACCCCAGATCAAATGCCTGGGTTCATCTGAATTCCCATCACTTTTCACAGGTGCTGAGAAGT